AAGAATAAATATAGTTAAGATGTCATTACTACCTAAAGCACTCTACACATTCAATGCAATTCCAATCAAAATTGCACCAGCATACTTCTCAAAACTAGAACAAACTATCCAAAAATTTGTATGGAACCACAAAAGACCCCGAATAGCGAAAGTAATACTGAAAAATAAAACCAAAACGGGAGGAATCACCATCCCAGACTTCAGCCTCTACTACAAAGCTGTCGTCATCAAGACAGTATGGTATTGGTGATTCTTTCTTAATAGGATCCTTTCTTATAGGATTGTGGCACCATGCTTAGCATAACCTATCACGTTACTTCCCCACAGCCCTTTGCGTAAAAGCATGCCAGGGAATCATGCATGAATGTCCCGAGGCTCAGCGTCCTCATCTACGAAATGGGGGTAACACAGTCCCTCACGGTGTGCTGTGGTCACGTCCGTGACATACACAGCAGAGTGCCAGGCACAGAGAAAGCGTCCCGAGCGTAGACAAACTTCCAGCCCTTATCGTCCCTGGGTAGTAGCTCGCTTCTTCTAGAAGTCCTTTGGCAAACTCATGGGAAAGCAACCCAGAACCAGGAAAGAAAGCAAAAAGAACCCTCCTCTGAACCGTCAGAACCAGTGTGGCCAAGCTGATGCACTTTGCTCAGGGCAAGCTCCCGGACCCTAACAGCTCTTGCGAGATATGCATCTCTCTCGTTGGGGTTTCTGGTCTCTCAGCCGAGATCATAGTAGAGGAAGCAGAGGAGGAAGGAGTAGAAATGTTAGAGGGGTGGAAGGCACTGAGAATCTGCAGATGAACAACGGAGCACAGTGGTGAGGAATGAGGCCAGTGAGGCATCGACAGGGCATGGTGTACAGAGGCCTCCCTCTCAGGGTCATACTTGGTATTTATGAGTAAATCAGAAACCCAACAACCCGACAGTGAGGGCCACCCATGACCTGGGTGTCTCACCTCACTGTGGTCCCGGATCTGAGCAACGCCGTTGATGACCAGCTGACAGGGAGAGGCCACATGAGTCAAACGAGGTGGTGCTGAAGTGTTGAAATTGCGCCACTTGGACAGAGTGGATATTGAGGCTGGCCAGCTTCAAGGAAGGACTCCCTCAAGTATAAAAATAACGATGGGTGGCAGGCCGGGGGAAATAGCTGATGGGGATTGAGGAGGGCATGTGTCATGATGAGCTCCAGGTGATGCACAGACATGCATCTGAAACTAACACAACGCTGTAGGTGAACTAACTGGCATTAAAACTAAAATTTTTTAAAAAAGATGCCCACCGGTTGACACAGATAAGAGTGTGGCATTACACTCATCACTACTTTCCAACGGGATAGTATGATTCATACCTTTCACAGAGGGGGAAATGGAGCTTCTGAGAAGTCCAGATTCATTTAGATAACGTGAGGAGAGGGACTTGAACCAATCTGATCCCCGAGTTTGCACCCCAGGCCACGATCCACCATGCTCTTCACTTAGGGCAGTGTTCCCATGGCGACCAAGAGACGGACCCTCACCTTCCGAGTTGTTCTTGAACCCCGTCTCATGCTGGTCTTCCCTTCGTCTGCCAAGCTCTAGCTTAGGAAGCTGGCTTTGTCTGGCTTTTTTCTTTCCATTCCTTAAATAATCCAAACTCATTCCTACGTGAGGACTTTTGCACCTGCTGTTGTCTCTGCTTGGAATTCTCTTCATCTGGCTCTCTGCGTGGGGTGTTCCCCGTCATTCACACGTCGGCTCTCAGCGGGCCTTCCTCTCGAATGTGTGCTCCTCTCCTGCCTCACTTTACCCACATCTGAAGTTCTTGTCTGACACCCTCTTGTCCTACTAGCCTGTCTGCTACTGGGGGGCAGGAGCCTCGTCTACCCTTCCCGCAGCTTACCCTTGACTCTGAGGGTCTGACATACTACGCCCTCTCACTGGGCACTTGTGAAATGAATGAGCTCTTGCGCTGCAGCTGGGGTTTCACGTGGCCTCTGTGTTCCAACGTGATGCCTGGAAAGCCAGAGGCTTTTCTTTAACAGCGTTTCTCTGTTTATCTTTTCCAGTTAAGTGTCCCGAGGGAAGCTACTTTCAGAAGGAGACCTGCGTTCCCTGTCCTATTGGATTCTACCAAGAACAGGCGGGGAACGTGGCCTGTGTCCCGTGTCCCATGGGCAGGACGACCATTTCAGCTGGCGCTTTCAGCCACACTCACTGTAAGTGCTGCAGGGGCCTGGTTTGAAAGGGAGACCCTCCAGTGCCACGGGGACATGGCAGGGTGGCTCGACCTTGCCACTGTTGAAATTTGGGGCCAGGAAATTCATTTTGGGGACCGCCTCGCGTGTGGCAGGATGTTTATTTAGCAACATCGCCGACCCTTACTTGTTAGACGCCAGTAGCATGTCCCCTCCCGGTTATGACAACCAAACGTGTCTCCAGGCATTGCCAAGTGTCTCTTGGAAGGCACACAATTGCCCCCCCCCCCCCCCCCGAGAACCACTGGGTACAGAGCAGCACGATCAAAGGGGCTCCACCTCTATGCCTGTACCCGGCTGGGTTTCACCTGCATTCATGAAATCCTATCAAATGCCCTTCCTTGTGAATAATCTTAGCCCAGCTTTTACGTACAAGAAGGCTAAGGCTCAGAGAAGTAATCTAGCCGAAGTCACTCAACTAATAAGTGCCATAACTGGCCTTTGATCTTGGCATTGTCTGATTCTGAAACTTCTGAGTTTTGTAAGTCGTCCTTATCAGATTGAGAAATGGAAGATATTTTCCACCCACAGTCATTACCAGTCAGTACAGCTATGTAGCGCACGTTCCCCTTCTGGGTTTGTCAGGACCCGTCTGCACGTCTGGCCTTCCCATACGTCATGTGATTTCACTTGGCCTACTTGCTTCATAGTCACCTAGGTATCGGTGGGTTTTTCCTGGCAAGGGCCCATGGCTAGTTGTGTGTCTTCTCGCGTTAGTCTGAAATTGTGTCGGCGCAGAGCCAACCGTGAACGTTTTAGATCTGAATAGATTTTACAGTTTTAAAATGATGAATCACAAGAGAGAGCGCCGCCTTCCTGGGTAAGGGCAGTTAGTTTGGGAGAGGCGTGGTAGTAGCATGCTAATTCTAAGACAGCCAGATGGGTTTTGTAGGTGAGGAGTCTGACGTTGCTCCTGGACATTAAACTCTTCACCAGGAAGGCAGAGTGTCCCTGACATCTAGACATCACCTTCAGCTTGCACGCGTTGATTCAGCCATGGATTTGAGATGACTTGAAGTGTTATCTCGGGGCTGGGGGAATGCTTTCTTACAGAGGGATCGATGCAATGTATTGATCCTTGTTTGCGGGGGGCGAAGGTACGACAGAAATGGCAGGGAGCAGAGGAAGAGCCTGGGGCTTGACACCAGCCAGACCCAGGTTGGTCCCCTCCACCCCCTCCACCGGACTGTGCCCAAGGCCGCACCTCCTTCCTTCTGTGAATGTCAACTTCCTTACTTATTAGATGGGGCCGATGGTACCTCACTCATCAGGTAGTTATAAACTATGTCTTTGTTCCAGTTGCTACATTCAAATGACCACAGATGGGGGGGCTTCAGCAGCTAATGTTCATTTCTCATGGTGCTGAGGGGGAGGAAGTCCAAGATCGAGGGACCGACATGGTGAGGTTCTTGGCGAGGGCCCTCGTCCTGGCTGCGTCCGCACGTGGCCTTTCCTTGGTGCATGCACCCAGAGTGAGGCATCCCCCGGGTCTTCCTCTTTAAATAAGGGTGCTGATTGTGTCATGGGGACCTCACCCTATGACCTCATCTAAGCCTCATCGCCAAAGGTCCTACCTCCAAATACCACTGCGTGGATGGTTAGTGATTCCATGCGTGAATCTGAAGGGATACAGACCTTCTGGCCACAACGAAGTGGAATCTATGAAAATGTTTAAGGTGAACCGTAAGCCTCATACGCATCATGCTTTGGGGATGAGCTTTCACCGCGTCTCCACGCAGCCTGGAGGGCCGTGTCATCATTCTCACTCTCCCACTTACCGTCCTGGAGTAACAGAGAGGATGTCAGTGGGTGGGTGCAGAGCCGGGGTAGAGTCTATGCCATGGGTATGTTTGTGTCTGAGGAGGCCTCCATGACTCATTAGCATCATCGTTCTGCCCGTTGTCTTACCAGATCCATGTTCTTAGATGGGATCAAGGGAAGAGAAGCGTGAGGCAGGAGAGTCCGGCCAAGTTTGAAGTGATGCCAAGCGATTACAGTTTCTCATTGGTTTCCTTTTGGTGTTAGGATAGCTTTTAGAATCTCAGTTCCTCCAGATGACTGGGTGGCTCAGTCAGTGAAGCATCCAACATCAGCTCAGGTCATGCTCTCACAGTTCGTGAGTTCGAGCCCAATGTCGGGCTCTGTGCTGACAGCTCAGAGCCTGGATCCTGCTTCAGATTCTGTGTGTCTCTCTCTCTCTGCCCCTCCCCCACTTACTCTCTCTCTGTTTATTTCAAAAATAAATAAACATTTTTTAAAAATCTCAAAAAAAAAAAAAAAAGAAAAGAAAAGAATCTCAGTTCCTCTACTTGGTTGAGGTCTGGATTCTTGTTCTTATCTGCAAATACTTCCCGCCTCTATTTCCTAAACTTGCAAGTCTACTGGATGATTTTGGAAGTTCTGTGGATAATCAAGTAGTTATTTATTAGTTTATTGATGCTTTAATTCATATGCAGCATGCATAACATGCAAAGCATTCTATTTAAAAAGTAGCCTGGGTAATCTAATAAATATTGTAATTAATCAATGGTTAGCCATATAACTCATAGTCTTAATACAGAGAAAATGAGATGTTCTCAAGTCTCTGGGCCTTTCAACCTACTTCCCAGCCCTGGAGAACCACGTCAAGGTATTTCCTTTTGATATCATTCATCAAAAGTGTATTAAGCACTCTTTTTGTGTGCCAGGTATTTACTGGATGTATATGAAACAGGCAACGGTAAATGCCCTGTCCTCAGGGAGTTTAGAGTCTGATAGGAAAAGAAAATAACATGTAATTAATAATATAATGTATGTAATTAATAATAGAATGGGGATGTTTGTTATATGATCTTGTAGCAGCTAGCACCAGGTCTTGAAGGACAAGTGGGGATTAGCCATGGGGGCAGGTGGAGAAGGGACTTCAGGGCAGAAGAAATAGCTGAAGCATAGGAACAGAGTTTTCATCCAAGGATTCAGCTAGTGTTTATTGATTTATTGATTGGATGTTTTGGGGGAGGTTCCTGGGCGCAGTTCCTGTGTGTGTGTGTGTGTGTCTGCGTGCGTGCGCGTGTGTGTGTAGGGGGTAGTTTCCCCAGACCAACAACAAGCAATTTGGACACCATTGTCTCAGAGACAGCACCAGACCCCACAGGTTGAGAGCTCAGTCCTGCAAGTGGGACCCCACTGCCCCCATCCTCAGTCAAAAGCCCAGTCTACCACCTGTGATTCTGATGAACGAGTGACACACGGAATGTTCCGACTTCCCCTCCAACCCAGGCACCGGCCATGTGTTCAGATTGTTACCTGTCCTTCCATCCAGCTGACTAGAAATCAGAGGTTCCCAGGGCCCCCTCCTTGGGTGTGATTAATTTGCTAGAGTGGCTCACAGAGCTCACCGAAATGTTTTACGCAGTAGATTTACCTGTTTGTCATAACAGGATGTAACTGAGGAACAGACAGGTGAGAGACGCCCAGGGCATGGTGTGGGGAAAGGGGGTGGGGCTTCCATGCCCCCCAGGTGCGCTGCTCTCCCCGCCTCTCCACATGCTCACCAACCCAGAAGCTCTCGGAGCCCCATCCTTTTGGGGTTTCATGGACGTTTCATTCCATAGACGAGCTTGGTTAATCCTTTGGCCGTTGGTGATCGGAGGTCAGGGAGAGGGACTGAAAGCTTCAATGCTGCAATCACATAGCTGGTTTTCCCAGCAATCAGGCTCCGTCTGTAAGAGCAACCCAAAAGTGACCTCTATAATGTAACAAAAGACACCTTGGTGGCCAGGAGATTTAAGGGGCTTTGGGCCAGAAACGAGAGCAAGCCAAATACGTATTTGTTATCATAAATCCCAGTATTACAGTGCGGGGGCTCATATCCTGTGTCAGACACTGAGCAGGATACTGGGGTCCGATAAGGAGCAAAATGGAATCAGGCTCCTGCGAGCCTAGAGCTTCCGTGGAGGGGGAGACGGATGGCTGTCAGCCATCCATTCACACGGACAGACGGAAATAATAGCCGAGCTCCAGGGGCGAGGAGAGGTGTGGGTGGACAGGGCATGTGACAGGCGGGTGTCGGAAGCCTGGGGCTTCCCTGAGGAAGCGAGCGTTGGGTTGAGGGCGTAACTCACTGAAGCTGAAGGAGAATGAGCACTGGCAGGTGGAACGCGGGAGCAGAGCCTGTGTGTGGGGAACAGTGTCCGGGATCCACCAGAGGGAGTGCTCTGAGCACTGCATGCTGTGTGGACCGTGGAGGCGCAGAGTGTGTACAGTTAGATGGGTGAAGCCAGATCACCGTATCTCTGTGGCCCCACAGGGGGCCTGGACAAGATCCTTTGGCCAAAGGGTGGGAACGTGTTGAGCTTGAAGCTGGAGAGTCTCTGGGTCAGACCTGTGACGTGGACGTGGAAGCCTGGGGGCCCCGAGGGGGGGGGGGGCCTGGAAGCGTGTCGGTGACGGTGCGTCTGTCCCTCCGTTCCAGGTGTCACCAACTGTCAGAGGAGCGAGGCGGGCCTGCGGTGTGACCAGGACGGCCGGTACCGAGCCAGCCAGACGGACGCGGGCAGCGGGAAGGCCTTCTGCGTGGACGGCGAGGGGCGGAGGCTGCCGTGGCCGGAAGCGGAGGCCACGCTCTCGGACTCCCAGTGCCTGCGTACGTGCTGGGGGTTAAATCAGCCGCGATTCTGGGGACAGGGAGGGCGTGTGCTCTCAAGCGCCTTCTAGAAAGGGAGAGAAGTAGGAGATGCATTTGTCTCCAGCGTTTTAGTTTGGAAAGTTTTCATCTACGTAGGAGTTGAAACAATAGTAAGATGGATACATAAATCCCTACCGCCTAGATCCAAAAAGCTGTTAGCGTTTTCCACTTCCCCTTCCTTCCTTCCTTCCTTCCTTCCTTCCTTCCTTCCTTCCTTCCTTCCTTCCTTCCTTCCTTCCTTTCTTTCTTTCTTTCTTTCTTTCTTTCTTTCTTTCTTTCTTTCTTTCTTTCCCTCTCTCTTTTATGTTTGGTCATTGGAAAGCAAATTTCAGACATCATGCAACCTTACCCCTAAATACTTCAGTGTGTATGAGATGTGAATTTTAAAGTAATGAACAAGCTGTGTTTCCCTTTCCTGTGGGTAGTGCATCTGCACGAAGCTGGTCAGCTTTTCTAACTCAGCTGGGTGTCGTGGGAAGACTCGAGTGCTGGTCCTGAGCCCGTAACTTACCTGCTGGGCAACCCAGAGCAAGTCGCTCAACCTCTCTGATCCTCAGTCACCTCCCGTGACACTGTCAGGGCCAAAACCATTCTTGGAGGACAATGAGCACTCACTGAGCACCACCCTGAGCCGGGCACACAGTGAGGTGACGGGTGGGAAAGGCCTGGGTGAACCGACACCTCGGTGCAATGGGACTGGGGTGGGAACTGGTTTAATCTCAGTGGTGCCTTTATTAGCTGTGTCCGCTGAGCAGCCAGTTACCTTCGAGAGTTTCTTCCTCTGTTAAATGGGGCTGTGATTGCCTGCCTTTCAGGGGAGCCGCCTTCCTGCCTCAGGCCTGGCACGCCTTTGCGACCTTGACCTTGACCAGGTGTTGCGGGCACCAGTGGTCCGAGTCTCTCAGGGTTCTGTGGAAGGGAGGGCCTGATCTGCATGGGCTTACTACGCGTCAGGCCCCCTGCTGGCAGTTTTATTATCTCCAATTATTTAGCTGAGGAAACTGAGGCATGAATGTCTAAGTGACTTATTAGTCAGGATAGAACATGCCTAGAATTTGAACCCATGTGTGTCTGACCCCCAAACCCATTCTTTCCATGACATCCCTCTGCTTCTACCTGGGTTTATCTGCTTCCTCATGAAAGCACACACCCGCACACCTGCACACGCATACTTGCACACACCTCACACACGCATGCACTAGCCTATCTGTTCTCTAGGGATGTGGGTGCAGCAAATCACATACAGTGCTGGAGAAAATCCGAGAGAGACATTTTCGTTTCTTTTTTTTTAATGTGTATTTTTTGAGAGTGTGAGTGAGAGAGAAAGAGAGGGAGAGAGAGAGAGAACCCCAAGGAGGCTCCACTCTGTCAGTGCAGAGCTGGACGCGGGGCTCGAACTCACGAGCTGTGAGATCATGACCTGAGCAAGAGTCAGATGCTTCACCGCTTGAGCCGCCCAGGTGTCCCAAGATATTTTCATTTTCTAGTGCTCAGAACAACCATTTCCTTCTCTAGCAAAGCGCTGAAGATGCTCAAGGATGTGTGCGCGCGTGTAGGTGTCCCCACAGATAAACTGCACGTCTGCAGAGCGTCTAATTATTTGTTTCCAATTTTCCTTTTCTTGGGAGGAAACTGCGATCAGGGGAGTTGATGCTGGAAGGTGTTTTAGGACACGAGGCAGCCCGGTCCTAGCTGCCCCTCACACGCAGGGGAGAGCCTGTCCCCAGCCGGGACAGCAGCTTGCCAGGGCCTGGTGACTCTTAGCCATTCTGGGCTCAGCACATACGTGCCTGCATTTTAACTCCCCTCTTCTTTGCTCTCCTGTCATCGCCTCCGCTGCCAGGACTGATCTGCAGGCCGCAGAAGCGTTTGATGCTTCCTGCTGCCCCGCGTGTCCCCAGAGCAGAAAGGACAGTGTCACCGGCAGCACCAGAAGCGTTAATGACTAAGAGCTTAGCCTTGGCAATTTCCACGACGCCTCCCTGAGGCTCTGGCTTTTTTTTTTTTTAACTTTAATTTTTTTAATAGTTTATTGTCAAGTTGGTTTCCATATAATACCCAGTGCTCATCCCCACAAGTGCCCTCCCCCATGCCCATTACCTCTCTTCTCCAGATGGGACATCAGCGACGTCTCTGGCTCCTTGTGCAAAACTCAGAGTTGATGTGTCCCTCTCTGGGTACTCAGGGCAGGGGATTGCCGTGTCAAGAGGTTGGGTCCCCGCTGGGATGTCAAGAGCCCCTTCTAGGAATCCAGCCGGCTTGCTTTAGAGAGGAGCCTCCTCTGAGAGTAGAATCGCACTCCTGATTTTGAGGCATTGATCCTCCAGGAACAAAGCAAAGGGTGTAGCGGTCAGCTGTATCGCTGGGGGGGGATTGGCCCCCTTCGACCCCCAACCCCGGTGTCTGCTCCTGGGTTTTCCCCCAAGGGGATTACTGCTATAGCCTCCCTACCTTATCCCTTCGCTCTAGGCTTCCCCCTCCTCCCGCTCATTTCTCTATGATGCTTCACAGTTATTCTCAAAGGCGACTCTGGGGGTGCCTGAGTGGCTCATTGGGTTAAGTGTCTGACTTCGGCTCAGGTCATGATCTCATGGTTCATGAGTTTGAGCCCCACATCGGGCTCTGTGTTGACAGCACAGAGCTTCGGATCCTCTCTCTCCCTCTCTCTCTGCTGCACTCCATCTCTGCCTCTCTCTCAAAAATAAACAAACATTAAAAAGAATAAAGACAAAAGGCAGTTCTGTTTATGCAATGCCCCTCACGACCTTTCAGTGGTTCTGCGTTGCTCTCGGGATAAAATAAAGTTACGTACCCTCACTGTCCTCTCCGGATTCCAGCCTCTTTCGATATCATCCTTTGGGGCTAGGATGATAGCTTTCTGTTCTATTCCAGAGTCGTTGGTGCTTGCTGCAGAATGAATGAATTGCCGTTACTATCTGGGCCTTTAAGAAATTACTTCCTAAATGTGGTCAGGGAAGGGGATTCTCCCACCACCGGAAGTCCTGCAGGCAGATTCACAAGCCCCGACACCCCGGCAGGTGTCTTTGTGGGAGACAAAGGGACTCGTCACTTACGGAATTGTTACCGTGTACCAGGTTTTCCACATTCTTCTATTGAATCCTCGCGACCACGCAACTGGGACTCTCAGATTGAAATGCGCCCCAGGACACAGGGCGGGTGACGGGTGGTGGCAAAATGCCTTGAACGAGGGCTTACTCCAGAGCCAGCGCTGCCTGCTGTGTCCCTTCCTGCCCGTCCCCTCCACCTTCTCTCTATTGCCTGCGGCAAACCCTTAGCTTACCCGTAGAGTTAGAGGTGTACTCGCTGACCTTGGCCGCTGGAAATATTTTAAGCTCACCTTCTTTTAATTCTAGACCCAGTTTTCTATTTCTGCTTTTTGTTGACCTGCACCATCAGCTCCGTAGCATGTCAGGTGCCCAGAGGTATCCGCCTGCTGGCGGGATGGCGCCGTGGCTGTAGTGTTCTCTCCAGGCTTTCGGGCGCTGTAGTGATGTTGGCAGTCATCCGTTCATCAGTGCAGGCCTCCAACAAACAGGAAACTCATGTCTCTGCCACTATCTGAGTAGTGGGGGTTCACATATTCTCAGGACATTGTCCGTGTCGTGGAAAGAGACAGGCACACAGCCAGGGTCACATATAATGCTGTGTTCTCGTGTGGACCCTCTCTTCTTTCCCAGACATTTGTAAATATCTGCTAAGTCAAAACTTGGCACGTGGGAAATTGTACCAATAGAATGTCTGCAAACTTGCCCGCTAACTCGGTGTTCTATGGAATTGTTGGCACCTTAGTGCGTGGATTGTTTCTGTTCTGTTTGGCATTGAGCTTCGTCACAGAATGCTCTATTGTGACAGGATCTTCGTCACTGAGGTGTCCATCTCGTGAAAGCCAGCAGATTGTCTCACTGGAGTGCTAACATTGCTGCATTTTTGGCCTCTGGGAAGACTTGGAAACTGAAGGACGTGTCAAGTTGTGTTTAGTCTACAACTATGTTGTGAGCAACTGTCTGTGCCCATTAAGACTTAGGGACAAAGGGCTGAATATAGCACGGTGTTTGCTGGACTTGAGCCCGCAGTCTCTACAGACAAGATGCCAAGGGGTGTAAACATGGACAAAAGAGAGAAAGAGATGAGAGCGGAAGAGTTGAGTATGGACGAGCACATGAACTTGGCAACTTCCGTAATCAACATGGAAGGACTACCTTGTAAAACCAGAATTATTTTCTATTTCAGAATCTCTGAAGGTTTAAGCATGCCGTTTCTCTTGTATTGGCATCCTCTCTCCTAACTTTATCCCAAAAGCAATAGACTTTTTTCCCGGCACTTATTATGAAAATGGAAAAGAGGTTGCTGGGTGGTCTTGAATTTATTGAAGTGATAAAAACCCATTGAGACACAGGTCTGTTTTATAAAGTGACAGAGGTGTGTGAGCAGGGGTGCTTACGTCTGTTTAGAATGATGTCCGCAAAAAAAATTAATACTGGGTCTACTTTGGGGCTTGGTTTTTGAGAGTTATCTGCAAAACACCAACACCTCTGGGCGGTTTTGGTTTTGGAAATGAGTCTCATTCCTTGAGAGTTACCTGCAGAGCCTTTTGATGGGTCAAGAGTGAGTTCTGAGTCACATTGCCTTGAGATCTTATATTTATTTCTTCTCCCCGTTGAGCTCCAAGAGTGTGTGCCTATGTCATTCCTACCAGAGGAGAATTCAAGTGTGCTGATTGATGGCAGCTAGGAAAACAGATGCTACTATATCGCATAAGCACTGTGTGATATAGCAGCTATCTATAATGAAAATACCTGAGCCACATAGCACGTCTCAGATCTACATGAGCCCACATGTGCCTGTTTATCTTTTATTTTGTTTTATCTTATTTTTAACCTTTGTTCAATTTTGAGAGACAGAGCAGAGCGTGAGCCGGGGAAGAGCAGAGAGAGAGGGAGACAGAATCCAAAGCAGGCTCCAGGCTCCGAGCTGTCAGCACAGAGCCTAACACGGGACTCGAACTCACTGACCACGAGATCGTGACCTGAGCTGAAGTCGGACACTCAACCAACTGAGCCACCCAGGCGCCCCTGTTTTATTTCTCTTAAAAGCTAACTTACCTCTTTCCAGAAAGAAGCAAAAATTGTTTTATGGAAGGAAAACTTTCGAGAGCATAATTATAAGATATAATTAGCATTCAAAGATCAAGAGAGGAAAATATATATTTAGATAGAAAAACCCTTATCAATGAGAAAAAAAAAAGAGTTGTAAGGAGTAACATAATATTACATTTTCTCCTTACCTCCTGACAATGAGGTAGCAAAAGGAGACATGATAATACATAGCTCTCTGCATCAGATATGAGGCCACATGCTGGAACCATTTTAAAGGGGAATTCCTCTCCTGGGGACATTTGGGTGACCAAGGACTGTGAAGGAGACAGGTACACAGACGTGATTTCCTGACTGGTGCTCTTTCTGGCTCCTCTGTGGAGGCCTTCCACCTTTCAGAGTCAAATGTCACCATTTTGCTTTTTTTTCAGTGATGCGCAAATTTGAGAAGGTTCTGGAATCGAAGGTGACCTTCAGTGTGGATGTCAGTGGGGCGAGCAGGTCCAGTGTGCCTGGTCCTGAGTCCCCACTGACTCAGTGCCTGACGGGTAAGCCAGCTGGGCACATGGGGAAGCACACTCTGCTGTCCTCAGCAGGGCACACCAAATAGAACCGCCGAGGCTGTGAGGAGAAAATACACTTTCTCCCAAACATTTGGTAAATCGGTTGATTCCCCGAGTGTACATGCAACTCCTAAGTTCACTTCAGAGCTTATGATACATCTCCTCCGTACCGAGAGCAGTGCTATGCTGAGTGTCAGGGAACAGAAATGATGGACATGGGTTCCTTGTAGAGTTATTTATCCGCGTCAGGAGCGCTATCTGTCTGTACCAACGTCAAGGGCAGAGAGGGGTAGTAACAGCTTTCCTATGTATTGAGCATGTATGTTTACAAGGGTTATCTTATAACCTACAGTCCACGAAAGTCCTTGAAATGCATGTTACAGATGAGTGGGGGGGGGCGGTATGTGTATGTATGTATGTGTGTGTGTGTGTGTGTGTGTGTGTGTGTTGGGGGCAGGGGGTGGGGGTATGTGTCCACCTGCCCTTAGCATCACCGGAGAGAGACAGGCACTGACTGTCCCGTGCTGCTTGCAGACTGTGCGTTGGACGAAGCCTGCAGCTTCTTCACGGTGTCCGCGGCGGGATCAGACACCTCCTGCGGTTTCTACGCCTGGACAAGTGACAGCATGGCTTGCACAGCTTCTGCTCAGGTGAGGCACGGCGGCCGTGTGGGCCCTTTGCGTCTCGTCCTTTCTGTGCCAGACATGTTCCGATCGAACGGACACCAGGCCGGTCGGGTGACGGCACGAGACTGTCAATAGCCGACCCCGTGTTGTGCCACTTCTTCAAAGTGATGAGGCTTCGGGCAAAGGACCGCAGTGGACTGGTGGTGTCTCAGGACGAAGGTGTCCCGAGCAGGGTCCGTCTGAGCAGAATCCTTTCCTGACAAGTCGGTCAGAAGGAATGGCGGTGACGAGCTCTCCCTCCTGTTACCCACCAGGCAGCTGGGTGCTGGGCCTGACGGGACGTTGTCCAGGGCCCTAAATGCCACCTGTCTCTCTGAGTCCCAGACCCCCCCATTTCTTTCCATGTGGAAGCAAAATATGATTATAGCTTAAAAAAGAAAACTGTTAAATGTTCGTTAGAACCACGTGAAATTGCTGTGTCTGTAGGTCAGAGCTGGCAGTTTCATGGTTCCCATGAATTAGTACTGAAGGGTATGCAGAGGGAAGCCATTGTCCCAACTTCCTAGCTCCTAAGCACATGTAGATCTCCATTTTACTGTCCAGTTTCTCATGGAAACTTCCAGAAAATTTCTATGTGCTTATGAGCCTCTTGTTTGTTTACATGTTAATATCTTACACTATATCTTTTCTACCTTGATTTTCTCACATGTTTAACTTCTTGCATCTTTAAAATGAACCTTGTGCTTTTTAGCAGGGGCAGACCAGTCCATTCTATGGGTGCACATAAAGTAGTTCTCATTTTTAAAGGGCACGCCGATTTGTTAGCAGTTTTGCAACATCGCCAGCGCGGGTGGGCTGCGTGCCCCTAGCACACGCACCTGTGCAGGGGTGTGAGTGTGTGTTCATAGCAACAGCCCAGGAAGGCCTGGGCGGGGGGTGGACCCCTGAGTATTAGGACCCCCAGCCAGGGTCTGTATTTGCAGGATCTAGAGAGGAGGCAGGGAGGGGTCTTGGACTGAATCCCAAACCCTGTCCGTTTGGGGCTGTCAGACCATGTGCAGGTTCCTACCCTCACTTCATCCGTGGAGGCTTGACCTCGCACCCTTCTGGTGAGAATTCGAGAAGCTAACACAAGACACACAGTAATGGAGGCAACGTTAAATGCCTCGAGTTTAAAGGTTAAAGCATTTGGGGGAGGATGACCATGCCTTTATTTTTTTCACTATCATGACCCTGACCTGCCTTCAGATGTATCAGGGGGACATGGGGCCGGCAGGCGGGGAGGGGGGATGGGCTAGGATACCAGAGATAGTCGGCCAAGACCCACTGGCATTAATGCCGCGGGACCATGCAGACCAGCTGCATTTAATTGTTGTCTGGGGCTTCCCAGGGCCCTCCCCTCACCTTGGCTGGCCTGAATCAAAGTGATTCTATTAATGGGACACCTCTGTCCACACGTCCCAGGGATGCTTTGTGGTCACGAGGGGTCTGAGGACACAGTGACAGTGCTCTCTGGGAGTCCCTGGGAATCTCTGATCTAAGGAAATTCTACTGCCCTCTTTCCCTAAGGGATCAGACCCGGCTTGTAGAATTATCAGTGATACAGAAGCTAGCTCTTGCATTTACGGAGTACTTACTAAGCACCTAGCATTCCTCTGAGCAAAACTATGAGATTATTAGTCATTGGATCCTCTGATGCCCTGACAAGTATGGATTTTAGTCTATAAGCAATAAAACACTTCTTCACTAAAAAAAATAATAATAAAAAAGAAGCAGAAAAGGAATGAAGTCTGAACTCTCCCTCGAACTCCTCAGCCCAGCAGAGATCATCTCTCGCAGGGGGCGTTCGTAAGGAGGTGGTCGGGAGCTCGGTTCCCGGGTCCTCACGGCTGGCCTCTTGCCCTTTGCCCCGTGAATCCTGGAACCCTCCCCTGTGATGCAGGGTAGTGGTGACACCTGTCCAGTGGCTGCGAGGATTGAATAAAGTCCTACATGGAGAAGCTTACATGACAGTTTCTGCCTCAGGAAGAGCTCAGGGACCGTAATGATAGCTGTCACCACTGCTGTTAGTGTCGCTCCAGGTGGGCAGGAAACGCCACCCCACCTGGTACAGGGCTCCCCTGCAGGGCCCGGGGGTGCTCAGGGCTGTCCGAGGCACGGGGGTCAGGTGTCGCCATTGATCGGGAGCCACCTGGCCAGTCTACACTGCCCAGCACTGAGGCCGCAGCGCCAGGGAGAGCCGTGTGTCTGGGGTAGGTGTGGGGCGTGGAGGGGAGTCTTTACCTAGGCGGGAGCCCCTTGTTTGGGTCTAGGCTGCAGGCATATTGTCCGGCTGACCCTCATCCCATGCCCTCCAGGCCTGACCACCCATGGGGCGGGGGCCCCTGCAGTCTGGGACCCGCCACCCACACCCTTCTCAGGAGTGCAGAACCCTTTCCCTCTCGGGGACCCTTCTCCCCTCCCTGGCACATCATCCGGCCCCTGAGCTCAGGGTTTCTAAAATGTCAGAAGAGCGGTTGCTTCAGAAAGCTTTGCTGTAGCCGCTGCCCTTGGAAGATTCCCGCGGCCAGGAAACTCAGGCAGCTTCGAGAGGAGGGCGGAACCCTGGGAACAAAACACAAATTGATCAAAACAGATTTGTCCTGCCGCCCCCACACAGCAGGAGTTCTGGAAACAGGCAGAAAGAGGGATCGGAAGATTAGCGAGAACGGCAAAGTCTTTGGATGTCTGACCTCATTCCCAAGCTCACAAACCTCCCCTTGATCCCCACTGGATACAGACTGTGCCCATAGGTATGCCCCTGCCTCTCTCCTCTTCCGCCCCTCTGCCTCTCAAGACTGACAGGCTCCAGGACCCACAGGCTCCAGTCCTCAGAGCACCACAGAATTTTTTGTCTTCATTTCTGCCACTTACTTTACTTAAAATCCTGCTTCTTTTATTGCCGCCTAACGAACTCTTACTCATACATCAGTACCCCACCCAGATTCACCTTCTCTGGGAAAGTTTTGTAGCTCTCCTTTCACGACAGAGATAATCGTTCCATCTTCTGTAATCATCTCCTCTTGGATGACCTGTGTCTTTGCAGTGACGCTCTGGGCTGGAATTCACTGCTCCCACGTCTGTGTGCTCTAGTAGGAACTAGTGGACAGGAGTCTTCTGTTTGTACCTTTGCGGCCCCAGCGCCTAGCTACGGTTAGAGTTTGGTGAACGCTTGTTGAACTGAAGTCGCCATCTCTGGATAATAACGCATCTGCTTCCCATCTCCAGCATCAAGACCCACTGGGGAACTCAGAGGCCACCGGCTTCGGGAGTCTTACGTGCCAGGTGACCTTGAGGAGCGGAGCTCCAGACTCTCCGGCTGTGTATCTGAAAAAGGGTAGGTTGGCCGAGCTAGATGGCTTGGGGCCTCAGTGGTTTAACTGGAGTAGGGTTTAGGGCTGCTTCCTAGCTGGGCGAGTTTAGGGAGGGGACCACACTGTCCCCAGCCCGAGGGATGGGGAGGCTCCTTCTACAGGCCAGGGACTGTGGCAGAGCCCAGCGCCCCCCTGAGGCTGTCAGTGAGCAGGGAGCATCCCCAGCAGGGGTGTGGACTCCTAGCTCCCTGCAGCTGCCCCTCTCAGGCCTTCCCTTCCCCTGGGTCTTCACCCCCCCAAAAGTTACCAGCCCTTCTCCCAGGGGTCCAAACCTCCGAGCACCCTCTTCCTCACCAGCCAGGGCTTCCTACAGCTGCACTGTGCATGTGTATTACCTGGGGGCGGGACTTGTAGAAAGGCAGATGCTGAGTCCATCAGTCAGGGTTGGGTCACCATTCTGCCTTTCAGATAAGCTCTGAAGAGGCCTGGTCCTCTGCCCCCCCCCCCCCCGCCCCCGCCTCCTGGGGTTGAGTAGCAAAGGCGTATCCCATCTTACAGTTTATAGCTCACTTCCCCAGACCGCTTATACCCACCTTCATAGAGATTCTAAGAGGAAACGGGGATCATAGCCCCTCTTTTACAGATGGAGAAACTGAGGCCCAGAGAGATTAGAAGAGTTTCACAAGGTCAGACTGTTAATCAGTTGGGGAAGTGGGTTTGAACCTCAGTGTGTCTGAATTCCCCCACGCGGCTTCCCGGAGTGGGGGCGGGGAAGCCCACCCTCTTCTCCCCTGCTCTGCTGGCCCCCAGCCTTCTCTCCCTCAGGGCCAGGAGCGGGGCGGGGGGGGGGGTCGGGGGCCGCGGCTGCACTCCCCATGAGCTGCTATGCTTGGCTGGGCCCTCCGTCCCTCGGTGCAGGGTGAGGGCGCCGGAGCCCGCCTGCCTGGGCCCACCCGGCTCTGCCGCCCACCCGCTGGGGGCAAGGGCCTGGGCGTTCTGGGTTTCCAGCTCTTCACTGGTAAAGCAGGAGTCACAGGTGAAGCGAGGAGGTTGGAAGGTCGGGGTGAGGTTACCTGTGCTGCTAGAGCAAGGTCAATAGCAAGTGCAGGAGAGTTCTCATCGACTGTGCTTGCGGACGGGTTTCCTGGTGGCCCCGGGAAGGCTACAAACCAGAAGGCAGCCGAGGGGCTGGAGTGGAGGGTGACAGGGTGCCCTTCTCTCCCGTCCGTGGTTCTCTCCGATCCGTAGCTCAGGCGGCCTGGCTCCCAGCAGCCCGGGCCTTGTGCAGCAAGGAGCTGGCAGCACATGGGGACAATGCCACCATCCAGCCACCAAGGCCTCCACTGGCCTGGGAGCGGCCCGCGGCCCATGGCAGAGACAAGCGCTTGTGGCTGTTTGTCTCTAGCCCTTCCTCCACCAGACGCCTCCATCCTGTCCTGGGGGAGGAGGGCTCCCCGGGAGAGTGGAGTCCCGCAGGGCCGCGATTTCTCTCATCTGTGGGGGTGGGGGGGGGTGGGGGCTAGAATTCCTGCCCCAGTGTTTATTCCAATTAATTTTTTTTTATTTTAAAACAAATAACAGCATAACACCCTCAAGGTCCATCCATGTTGCTACACATGGCCAGATTTCCTTCTTTCTCATTGCCATGTAGTGTTATGCTGAGCGAAATAAGTCAGGCAGAGAAGGACAAATATCATATGTGTGCACGTATAGGAGGATTAGGAGGAACTTGACGGAGGACCAAGGGGGAGAAGAAGGGGGGAAATGGTGGGGGAAAGGGAGAGAGGCAAACCATGAGAGACTCTTGAATGCTGACAAAAACTGAGGACTGATGGATGTGGGGGGGAGGGGGGGATGGGCATGGAGGAGGGCACTTTGGGGATGAGCACTGAGTGTTATGTAGAAACTAATTTGACAATAAACTATTTGTAAAAAAAAAAAATAAATAAAATAAAAAAAAATACCACGTAAAAAAAAAAATAAAACAAATAACAGAGCATAGAGGGTTTTTTTTGTTGTTTGTTTTGTTTTGTTTTTGTCTAAAGAGGAAAACCAAAATAAAATAAGTAACTCCTACCCCAAATGTTCTTTAAAACCAACCCTTGGACTTTCATCACATTTTTAAAAAAAATGTGACTGTATTTCTTTCTAAGTGTTCTTATTTTTTCTCCTTCTCTCCTGAAAGCTTATACTTTGGGGAAAGTTTGCAAGGGAAACGGAGAAGCTTCCTTGTTGCCAAACTGAATGAGTGCAGAACTGTTTTTTGCTTTTTTAATTTTGTTTTGTTTTCCTTTTTTTAAATATATTTATTTATTTTTGAGAGACAGAGAGAGACAGCGAGTGACCAGGGGAGGGGCAGAGAGAGAGAGGGAGACACAGAATCTGAAGGAGGCTCCAGGCTCCGAGCTGTCAGCACAGAGCCTGACGCGGGGCTCAAACCCACGAGCTGTGAGATGATGACCTGAGCCGAAGTCAGACGCTTAACCAACTGAGCCACCCCGTGCCCCTACTTTTTTTTTTTTTTAAAGCAGAAAATGCACAGACACAGCCATTCTGCTTCCTAAGAGAGCCAACAGAGAAGGGAGGTTCAGACTCCTGCCTCCTCACTCACTCCTTTAGCGTGTGTGCTGTAAATGGGCGTAAGACATCACATCTGAGGAAGCGCACATGTGGCTTTTGAGAACTTCCTGCATCAATGGCACCTAGTAGCTGGCGAGCACATCCATTCACACCCTTGACCTTAAGCGACCTGGGAGACAGGACACACCTGGATCCGTTTCCCAGGACCCTTCAGTCTACATGCACCTGAAAGCTGTGGCCAGAACGTGGAGGCGGAACCATGTGATTTTTCAGGATCACAGGAAGACAGTGGTCAAGGGTTCCTTACAGACTGCCTAGCCCAGCCCCCTCGTTTCACAGACGAGGTCTAGAAAGACGAAGGATCTTGCCGCTGCACCCAGGTGGAACCTGGGACCTCAGGGCGTCCCCTCCTCCAGCTCTGGGATGTCCCCCAGACCTGCTCAGTGTCCAGGACTTGGCCGTGCGCGGATGGGCTCGGCACTGGCACTTTCCGTGAATGCTTCCCGCCCCGCTGTACGCACGCTGGCACGCACTGTGGATGCAGCTGTGAACACGACAGACAGTCACTGACTGGGAAAGGAACCGATCCAGCAATAAGATCACTTCTGGGGGTTATAAGTGCTGCATGAAAGTACAGCAGGACAATGGGACAGAGACGGACACGGACATGGGCTACCAGCACGGTCAGATTCACGGAGACACGAAGTAGGACAGTGGTTGGCAGGGACAGAGGAGGGGATGGACAGCTAGGGTTGGGTGGGCTGGCCTTGGGCTGAAGTAGAAGTTACAGAGGTGGACGGGAGTGACGATTGTACAACCGTGTGAAGGTATTTCATGCCACTGAACTAGCCACTTAGCATGGCTAAAATGGTAAATCTTATGTTATGGATGTTTTATCACAACTTAAAAAGGAAATGAAAGACGAACATTAATTGGATAAAGGTTGGTCAGAGAAGGAGTCTCGGAGGAGGGGACGTTGGAACTGAGACCTGAGACCAAACGAAGAGGAGGCACTCACCACATGAAGACCTCTGGGCAGCAGGCCTTCTGTCCTGGGCAATGTGGCGGATATTGGGAGGGGGTGCTGAGAGATAGCCCTACAGTCCAGCTGTCCCATGGAAATTTCTGCAGTGATGAGGACGTTCTATAAACCCTTCCCACCCAAAATGGCCACACATGGCCACCAGCCCTTGGAAAGGGCCCACTGCAACATGAACCTCAGGGAACTGAAGTAGACATTTAAATAGTCGCCTATGCCCAGCGACTACAGGGTTGGCTGGCAGGGAGTGGCTGTAGAGGGTCTCAAGCTGGTTGTCAAAGCAGACACTATCTCAAGTGGCTTAAATACAGGGTGAAAGATGCTGGAGCCTGGGATCTGGGGAGAGAGAGATGAATTCTAACTGTAAGAATCAGGGAGATGGACCCTTGAAGTTAAGCTGGGTTTTGGTGAAAAGGATGGGCTGGGGCTTTGTAGGCTCGGCCAGCGACAGGCAGAAGGGGTGGAGTGAACCAGTGTGAGGGTGCAGAAGATGTGGCTTTCTGGAGACCTGGAAAATACCTGCTGAGCGTCAGCTAAGTGCCAGGTTCATTGCTCACCCCATCATGTCTGGTCTATCTTTTTATCTACTTAACACCCATGAGGATGACACACTGTCACCCCCATTGTACAGATAGGGAAACTGAGGCCCTGAGGAGCTGCAGGGATTTGCACTCAAATCTGTCTCATCCCAAAGCTTGTGCTCTTGGGTTCCTCACGGGAAGCCTGTCCACTCCTTCCGGGGGGTGTGAGTCAGTTCAGCCCTGGTGGCCAGCTGGATGGAGGGGTGAACAAGGCAAGGAAGGGCCCAGACTCTGGCGTTCCCTCTGCCACCCACCAGCTGTGTAGACCCAGGTGGGACCGTTCACTCGTTAAGCCTCTCTTTCCTCACATGCGAAAGGGACATAGTCATAGGGTAGACATTTTGGCTGTAGATCGATCTATCTATCTATCTATCTATCTATCTATCTATCTATCTATCTGTCTATCCATCCATCCATCCATCCATCCATCCATCCATCCATCTATCTCCCTGAAAAAATCTCATCTTTGCACAATGATGCTCTCAAAATAACAGGGCTTATGGGAAAACTAGAGTTAGGGCCAGGCGAAACCCAAACCTTGCCATTTTTAACCGAGGACTGACAGAAGCTATCGCAATCTTACTTAAAATGCCAGCAGAATTTTAAAAAAGACATGGAATCCATCGCAAAGCAACGGTACAGTAAATGTGAAAAGAGTCACAGAGCTTGACGTGGGAGGGAGGAGGGAAGGGGGGGCTGCCGAGTTAGGGAGGGGAAAATGGGAATTGTCACTTTGAAGGCAGAGATGGTGGCCAGAGGGAGAACGTGGGCCCGTAGGCACTGGGTACCTTACTGCGCCCTGCTGCGTTCATGCGTGCTGTATGCACCTGGCGTTTGATAGCACGAGGCGGTGACATGGCAGGAAACCGTAGATCAACCGACGTGACTTCAGCATTATGGTAGCACAGCTTCTCGCCTGCCATGAGTTGGAGCCACGGAAATGCATGTGGTGGCAGAGCAGGCTGAACCCAGCCCACAGGGCAGTGAAGATGAAATGAGATCATGTAGGTGAATCACGTGTCATGGTGTCTGTGTACACAGTTGGAGCTCAATAAATGTTTGCGGGGAATAATAAAAATGATAATACATGTCACTTCTCCACACAGCCCCTTTAGCACTGCAAAGGTTTGAGGCACGTCAATCTAGGTCTGCTGGTTTGGGGCCCACGGGCCCGGGGAGCTTCTGGCTCTCCATGCACGGGAAATCCAGAAGTTTTGTGGTGCAGAGAGCATCTCATCTTGGACTTGACATTGGCCCAACTGGAGGGTCTTTTGTCATATGACCCGTAAACTGTGGTGGACTCTGAACTGTTTTCAGATCTTTAAAAGTTTTGTTTCTGCCGTTTCCCCAGGCCAAGAATTCAGCACAACGAGTCAGAAGAGCTTCGAGCCAACGGGTTTCCAAAACACGCTCTCTGGAATGTACAGGGCCATTGTGTTCTCAGCCTCGGGGGCCGATCTGACTGCGGGTCATCGCTTCTGTCTTCTGGCGTGTGACCGTGATCCGTGCTGTGATGGCTTCATCCTTGCGCAGGTCCAAGGAGGTAACTACAGTGGCGGTGAGGAAGGGGCCCTCCGGTGCCAGGACCCGTGGTCTGACGGGAATAAGCAGGGTCGCAGAAGCCAGGATGCAGTACGTGGAGACGGCATGGGGAGTCACAGCTCGAGGGGCCACTCAGCAGACCCGCAGGCTGCACTAAAGGAGGTTTTTATTCTAAGAATAATTGTAAGCTATTGAAAGTATTTTTAAATTAAAAAAAAATTTTTTTAAGAAAAAGAGTGTGAGTGGGGGATGGGCAGAGAGAGAGAGAGAGAGAGCGAAGGAGACACAGAATCTGAAGCAGGCTCCAGGCCCTGAGCTGTCAGCACAGAGCCCCATGCTAGACTTGAACCCACGAACTGTGAGACCAGGACCCGAGCCGAAGCCGGATGCTTAACTAACCGAGCCCCCCAGGCGCCCTGCTATTGAGAGTTTGAAGCAAAGGAACGTCGTGATCAGATACGAATTTTGAAGCTTTGTGTTAAGTGTGCAGAAGGTGACAGATGGGGAGTTGGAGTAGATGTGGAGTTTAGTTTGGAGCTACACCCCACCGTCCAGGTGAGAGGGGGAGCTGGGGCTGCGGGGACGGCAGCGGGGATGGAGGAAAGGGGACAGATTCAAGGTATCTATAGCAGACAAACCGCCAGGACTTTGGATATGAGATCGAGGGAGAGGGAGGTGTCAGAGGCCATTCCTGGCTCTCAAGCCTGTTCACCGGGGTGGATAGCTTGCTCGTGTAATGAATGATGGAAGAAAACAGATGCCGGATTTGGTAACGGGAGACGGAGGTTTGGGAAGCTCATGAACTCATTTACGGCGTGTTAAGTTTGAAATGCCTTTAGGAAATTCACAGGAAAGGACTGAGCTTTTGAGTACAAAGAGCCAAAGCTCAGGGGGAGAGTCTGGGTGGGGGATGGAAAGGTGTGGCTTCCCAGTGTCGAGGTGGTTTCAGAGCTGTGGGCACGGGTGGGGTTTCGTTGGAGGCGGGGGTACAGGGTGAGAAGACAAAGGGTGACGGGGCCTATCCCTGGTGAACACCTACAGAATGGGGAGAACCTTCGAAGAAGATGGAGAACTAGCGGCCAGGAAGCGGGGGGGGGGGGGACATGAGTGTGGTCCATCATGGAAACCGAGGTGGAGAGGGTCGAAAGATGGAGGAATTGTGTCAACAGGTCTGAATGCGGCTCAGAGTTCAAACAGGCTGGTTACTGAAGATGCTCCGGTTCGCTCCCCGCGGTCTGCGGGGGCCGAATGAGAAAGTGTGGGAGTAGCAGGTAGGGCAGGAGCCTGGACTGGCCCAAGTTAAATTCTAAAATTCCTTTTATTTTATTAAAAAAATTTTTTTTGTTTATTTATTTTTGAGACAGAGAGAGACAGAGCATGAGCAGGGAGGGGCAGAGAGAGAGGGAGACACAGAATCTGAAACAGGCTCCAGGCTCTGAGCTGTCAGCACAGAGCCCCACGCGGGGCTCGAACCCACAAACCACGAGATCATGACCTGAGCTGAAGTTGGACGCCTAACTGACTGAGCCACCCAGGCGCCCCTAAAATTCCTTTTATTAGGCTTAACGCTCTGTGATTATATGATGTGCATTCATGTTAGTGTTTAGATATGCAAAAGTATATATAGAGAGATAGATATACACACGTGTAAACACGGGCACACGTGTAAACACACATATGTGTGGGAAGCACTGCAGGTAAAATCAAGGATGCCTTTGCCTTCTTTTCTGTGGATACTGCACTTTCCCCAGACGCTCAATCACTCACCAAGCCATATGGTTTTTCAAGTTGGAAGATCCATTTCGCTTTCCCTAGAATCATATATGGAAGAATTATTTTGTCCAGGGAACAGCAAGCCCACAAAATCCTTTTTTCCAGGACATTTCTGGCCAGTGGCGCGCTGCCTTTTTCCTCCAAGCGTAACCTGTGATCTGTGAATTATGGTCAACTGACCGACTGCCTCCCATCGCCGCAAGTCAGGCTGTCCTCGAGACACGCATAAAACATCAAGGCAGATGTTTTTCCCAGTCTTGCCTGATGGGCAGATTTGGAGCTTTAAATTATGAAGCTCTGGCTGGGTCTGCCGATGGCCAGAAACCGAATCCTGCTACATCGTTTGACCGCAGTCTGGAAATTCATTTAACTTTTCTGGTAGATTCCCCCTTCCCCCTGCCTCAGTGGCTTTGTTTCCACTGATTATGAAGGAGAATTCATGAGGCTTCTGTACTTACATGTGAGTGGGGGCCTCTTGGAAGTGGGGCCGGAGGGAGTCGCGCGGCCCGCGGTACCCGGGAGTGAACCCAAAGTGGGCAATGTGTGATCAGCAAAGTGACTTCCAATCTCTAGCAGGCACCCAGCTCGCAGACACACGGAGATCTCGTTGACACTTCAGTACTAACGAACAAAGGCGCATGTGTTTCTCTTTCCAAGGTCTGGAGCAGAAGGAAAAATCTACCCGCCTCTCGTTTAATCCCATGATTCTGTTTCTCTGCTTGTGAGGGGACAGCCGTGTGCTCAGACTTCCTCTGGGCTCTGGGCGGGCTCCTCCTGGCCCCACTGAGGCCTGAGACCCTCGCTGCCGGCTGGCTGTTCCTCAGTTGCTAGCAAAACCAGCCCCCTTTCCCATGCCTCCACTGCCTCCCCTGTGAAATGAAGTGGGCTAGCTAGGGGAGGGATTCTAGAATCCTCCAGAGCACCAGAATCAGCTGTGGTGTCGTTTACAAGTGCTACTTCCCAAATGTCACCACCTCACACCCCTGTGACCTACCTACGGACCTACTGTCCACCGACCTACTACCTGCAGACCTACAGAGAGTCTAAAACTCTGTGGCTGGTGCTGAGGAGCGAGCATTTTCAGAATTCTCCCTGTGCTGTCGATCGAATCAGTCGAAGCACCCTGGTTTGAGAACCACCCGTCAGAGGGCCTCGAAGGTGGTGTTTTTACACAGAGGTATCCCTGCCATTCCTGCTGCTGCTGACTTTTTATTTATTTATTTTATTTTTATTTTATTTTATTTTTCTACATTTTCTTTTTTAACATTTTTTTTTTTATTATAGAGAGACAGAGCATGAGCAGGGGAGGGGCAGAGAGAGAGAGGGAGACACAGAATCCGAAGCAGGCTCCAGGCTCCGAGCTGTCAGCGCGGGGCTTGAACTCACAAACTGCCAGATCATGACCCGAGCCGAAGTTGGAGGCCCAACCGACTAAGCCACTCAGGCGCCCCTGCTGCTGATTTTTTAACAACTGCAGGTTAAAAGTGGCCCGTGGGAGGGGGAAGGGCAGGACATCACATTCGTAAGGCAGACGTCTGAGGCATCTACTTTGGGGGAACTCTGGTGAGAGATGAGTGAGAAACACTATCTGGATTTGGGCATAAATGAGAATAAGGAGGGGAATGAGGTTATGGAGTGAATATTTCCTTTTTTTTTTCTTCAGGAGAATCTTAACAACTATACTGTCTAATGGGATTATTTATCAAAATGATATATAGGGCACCTTGGCTCAGCTGGTTAAGCGTCTGACTTCGGCTCAGGTCATGATCTCGCCGCAGTCTCTGGGTTCAAGCCCCATTTTGGGCTCCTTGCTGACAGCTCAGAGCCTGGAGCCGGCTTCGGATTCTGTGTTTCCCTCTCTCTCTGCCCCTCCTCTGCTTGCTCGCTATCTCTCAAAAATAAATAAACCTTAAAAAAGTGTTTTTAAATGAAATATAAATTATCTAATTTTGAGATCTTAGTAAATTTGGGCAGTTTACTAATGTGAGACTCAGTTTCCACACCAGTAAAATGGACCAGCAATTATAATAATGTCCATAAGCATCGAGGGGATTCATACACTCGAATCTGTGCATCACAGACAGCCAGCACACTGGGGTTACCTGCGACGTGGCACTAAAATCAGTGTCAAATGTGGTGAGCTTGGGATAGGGCTTCCTGATAATAAACAGAGTCATAACTTCATGGCAGCTTTTTAAAACCTAGCATAGTTATGGGCGCCTAGGCGGCTCAGTCGGTTAAGTGTCTCTTGAATTCGGCTCAGGTCCTGCAGGATCTCACGGCTCGTGGGATCGAGCCCCACGTCGGGCTCTGTGCTGACAGCACAGAGCCTGCTTGGGATTCTCTCTCTTTCTCTCTCTCTCTCTCTCTCTCTCTCTCTCTGCTCTTCCCCTGCACATATCCTCTTTTTCTGTCTCTCAAACTAAATAAATAAACATTAAAAAATAAAAATTGGGGTATTTACACACCCAAGACACAATAGCCTGGTGCCTCCCCCAGTTAGAGATTTCTCTCGGTGCGTCCCCACAGCCTGTGCTTGAATGCATCCAGGGATGAGGAGCTCACTTCCTGACAGGGAAGCTTGTTCCATTGGTGCAGGGCTCCTGGTTTTTCATAGTCGCTTACTTTGAATCTGAGCGCTCGTTTCAAGTCTCTTCAAGGTTGGTGTGTGTGTGTGTGTGTGTCTGTGTGTGTGTAAGAGAGAGAGGCTGCTGTTTATTCACTGGAGGCCTCAAAAAGCTCAGTGCAGGCAGTGGGGGTGGAGAGGGAGGACCACGGAGCTGGGCACAGAGGCCCCGGGGCTGTGGTCATGGCTGCCGCCCCGAGAGGAAGGGCCCTGGCCCAGGAGACGCAGGGCAGGCGTGGTGGCGGCTCTTCCCGGGGGAATTGGCCACGGTGACAGCGGCCGGCCTGACAGGGCAGGGTGACCCAGCTGAGCCCAGCCCCTGAGCTCCGGCACCCCTCTGTGCTCCTGAGGAAGCACCTGCCCCGGCCTCCAAGCCTCTCGGGCACAGACGTGAGTCCCCGAAGGGGCCCTTCCCGTCTTTCTCACGTCAGCCTCTCTTCCCCGTCGCGACCCCGCAGGTCCCGTCATCTGCGGGCTGCTGAGCTCCCCCGACGTCCTGCTCTGCAATGTCAAGGACTGGAGGGAGCCCACGGAAGCCCGGGCTAACGCCACGTGTCCTGGCCTGACGTTCGACCAGGGCCGCCGCCTGGTGACGCTGCTGCTGGGAGGCCAGGAGTTCGAGGGTGAGTCTCCGCCTTCCGCTCACGTTCTTTCGAGAGGGCTGTTCCTCAGCAGCGAGGTCCGCCGCCGCTCCCCTGAGAGCCCTCTGGGCACCCCGAGAAGTTTCTGGTTCGGAGGAGAGAGCAGAGCAGCGATGCTGCACAAAACTCACAGGCCACGGGGTGGCCGGAGGGAGGCCACGTGCTGCACGTGGTGCCAGCCACACGGCCCATGCTGCTTACGGGGGTGCAAGGGACCGTCCCCCCCACCCCCGCCCCACGGGCTCCATTGACAGAAATAACCATTCAGCGCGTGCCTTCCTCCTCTTTCTGTCAGAGCTCCTCCAGCCTTGCCCGCACGCCAATAAGCCTTAGATCTAGAAGTCACTCTGAGATCGTTTGCCCACCCCCTCCTCGGACAGGGCCAGGCATCAGGGCCTGAGACCCCACGGCGGCCCATCCCCTCCCTTCTCGGCCTTCCCCAGCCCTGCTCTCTCAGACGGTGCCCAGCAGGGAGGAGTCCTGAGCCGGACTCAGTGCGGTCAGGACGGGCGACCTCAGGGTGACCAGAAGCTCATTAGAAATGCAGGTTCTCAGGTTCCCTCTGCCCCGGACCCTCACCTCCTCCAGCAGCCCTCCCTGACTACCCCGTACAGTTTATTGCTTCCTCATTCAGGGCATCACGTACGTTTTATGACCTCCTCTGTTGGGCAGTGGTATGGTGGGTGACGTGGGGGGCAGTGCCCTGTGCCTTTGCCTGCCTGTGACCCTCACTTGCCACCTGGGAGCGTGCCTGTGGTCTTGAATCCCAGTTCGGGACACCACTTGTGTGACCTGGAGCAGGTCACTAAATATCTTCAGGCTTGTCTACCAAATGGGGTAAGGACAGGGCCCGTCTCCCCGGGCTGTGGTGAAGGTGGAAGGGAGGATACTGGCAATGATCATGGAGGTGTCTTCCGTCAGGCATGCTGTGAACTAGCCCTGGCAACAAATCCCCGGCCACTGCTAATGCACGCACCTCCCCCCACAGTGCTTGGAGGGAGGATGTTACCAATTCTCCCCATTTTGCAGCTGAAGAAACTGAGGCACACGGGAAATGAAGCCTTCTCAAGGGCTCAGAACTTCCTTTAAAAAAATTTTTTTTAATGTTTATTTATTTATAGAGAGAGAGAGAGACAGAGCATGAATGGAGGAGGGGTAGAGAGAGAGGGAGACACAGAATATGAAGCAGGCTCCAGGCTCTGAGCTGTCAGTACAGAGCCCAATGCGGGGCTCGAACTCAAGAACAGTGAGATCATAACCTAGGCCGAAGTCGGCTGCTTAACCAACTGAGCCACCTAGGCGCCCCTGGACTCAGAACTTCCAAGCAGAAGGGCTGGGACCTGAAAGCAGGTGATACAGTTATAAAGCTGAGGTGCTGACTGACTTCTCTGTACTGGGCTTGCAGATAAGACCGCTGTTTGAGAAGAACTTCATAGTGACACTTAGTATTAGTGGTAGATAATATTATTATTGTTTTTAGATTTGTCATTGTGTTTTGTTATCTTAGAAAATGGGACGGTGTCTTATTAATTTCTGGATTCACAGCATCAAGCATAAAACCTGGCAGAGAGAATACACACCATATCTGTGGAGTGAATATCTCTCGAAGCCTGAACGAAAAATAATGCCTCATTAGGTGGAATTCCATGAGGCATCATTTTTGGGGGATCAGTAAAATCAAACAGCTTATTTATATGATGGATGGAGAACATATGATATCCATTAGTCTGAGAGGTAGCCCAGGGTGAAAACAAGCATGTGGAGAAAGACGTGTGATATATTCATGGGCAGTAAATCCAGAGTGAATTGTTAACACGGAGCATGTGGTTGGTGTGAGCCCAGAAGCGAAGAATGTGTCCTTGTCTGGCCTCCCTGAGAATGAGTGAGACCAAATGGCTTTTGAGGTTTTGAGTTTTCTTCAGTGCTCTGTGTGTATGTGTATGTTTTGAGGTGTCGGCAAAGGTTTTGTTGTTGTTTAATATTTTTAACGTTTATTTTTGAAAGAGAGAGACAGAGAGTGAGTGGGGGAGGGGTAGAGAGGGGAAAATAGAGGGTCTGAAGCGGGCTCCGAGCTATCAGCGCAGAGCCCGACGCAGGGCTCGAACTCACAAACCGTGAGTTCATGACCTGAGCCGAAGTAGGACGCTCAACCGACTGAGCCACCCAGGCGTCCCTGGTGTAGGCAAAGGTTCTTATTTTTTTGTTTTTTTTTTTGTTTTTTTTAAGTTTATTTATTTATTTTGAGAGAGAGAAAGAGAGACAGAGACAGAGAGAGCACCAGGAAGGGATGGACAGAGAGAGGGAGAGGGAGAGAATCCTAACCAGGCTTCGCACAGTCAGTGCAGAGCCAGATGTGGGGCTTGAACCCAGGAACCGTGAGATCATGACGTGAGCCAAAGTCAGACGCTCAACCAACTGAGCCCCCCAGGCGCCCTTGGTGTGGGCTAAGTTTTGAGAAGGGTATGCTCCGATGGGCATTTCAGGCACCCTGAGGCAAGTTCATGATGTTCCAAATTAAGGGTCCCCTCATTACACAGACTGGTCGGGAGGCCCTCGCCAGCTGGGCACAACCTGGCACAAATCCTCTTCCCACCGTAACAGGTGCCTCTGCAAGTACAAATAATCCTTGGGAAAAGAAACATGATGCAAGTTCTTACTAAAATGTGAATAGCCAACAGATTACCTTTTCTGAGAACAGAAGTCGATAGAGAAAAAGAGGAGTGAGGATTCCCTGGATCCAGACGGCTACAGGGGAGGCCACAGAATGCATCGAAAGCACACGGGAAGGAGCTAGGGACAGTGATGACGAACTCTGTCCCTCTCAGCCTCTGCCTTCCCATTGGGCCATTGGTTAGAAGGTCACTAAAGATCAGACACTGGAATTAGACCCCGGAGGCACCGCAGGGGTGCCCGGAGCAAGGTGGGGACTCCGTGGACATGAGAGATTAGGAAGCAATGGCCTGCACTGAAAGTACTGGACACGAATTCTGCTTTTCCCCTCCCGCTCTGTGGCCCTGCTCAAATACACATTAACCTCTCTGAGCCTCTGTGTCTCCATCTGCAAAATGAGGGTACATTTCTTGCATGTTATAGAATGAAGTGCTGATATTCTCTCCAGGCCACAGTTTAAGGCATTGACTCTTGAACCTCAAGTCCCAGGTCCCCTGACGGCACATCCCAGATACACTCTGTAGGCCTTCCAGTCTGGACATCCGCTTTCATTCCTCGGCTCACCAGTCTTCCGAGCCGGCTGGTGCAACAGCGGCCTGGTTCATGGAGCATTAGCCATATGAAGTGTTAAGTGAATTGATTGCCATTTGTAGGAAATTGTAACCCAATGGGATACGCTAAATCCAGACAGGAAGCACATCAGAATCTGTGTTGTGTTTTGCAAAGCACTTTTACACCGAAGCAGGCTCCCGGCTCCGAGCTGTCAACACAGAGCCTGATGCGGGGCTTGAACTCACAACTTGTGAGATCATGATCTGGACCCAAGTGGGACGCTTAACTGACAGTCATCTCTACTTCAAGGATTTTAAAGGGCTGTGGGGAGAGGGGGTAAGAGGCCAGGGAACGCGGAGGGTCAGGTGTGGGTTGTAGAGGGGAGGTGGGCGGGCTTGAATAGCTATAGAGGAGGGCGTGGTGGGTCCACTTGTCCACTGCTCATCCGGAGAGCCTGCTGGATGTAAAAGCCAGGCCAAGAACTGGGGTACAGACAGGGCAGACTGGTCTTTGTGCCCCAGGAGCTTGAAAGCTAGTTGGGGCAACAGAAAGATTATTGAAGTACAATGGACACCTTGGTGGACTGACAAAGGATTAAGGAAGTCAAAATGCCCTTTTATGTTTATTTCTTCTTGAGAGAGAGACAGAGACAGCATGAGCAGGGGAGGGACAGAGAGAGAGAGCGAGATACAGAATCTGAGACAGGCTCCAGGCTCTGAGCTGTCAGCACAGAGCCTGCCACGGGGCTCGAACTCACGACCTCACGACCCGTGAAATCATGACCTGAGCCGAAGTCGGATGCTTCTGACTGAGCCACCTAGGTGCCCCCAGAATGCACTTTCATCACATTTCTCATTTGTTAAGTCAATCAAGTATCAGTTCACATCAAACCCACAAAAAGAACCCCCATTACCAAGAGGCCATTTTATCCGATATGAAGGCCCAGTGCTTTTCCTGGTTGTCACCAAATTTCTGTTTAGACGTTTCTCTCAAGAAGGAACCCCCCCCCCCCCCCCCCCCCCCCCCCCCCCCCCCCCCCCCCCCCCCCCCCCCCCCCGCCCCGCCATAGGCGCCTCCCACATCCCCACTGGGCGCCTCTGGATGCTTCAGCTGTTTGGTGCCGGCCGGATCCCTCTTCCCATTTCTAAGAGAAAAGTCTTGGAAACTCAGGCAGTGCTGATGGCTTCTTTCTCGAAATGTCTTGAAGTGCAAATGAATGAAAACAGGCAGATTAAATGTCCCCTACTGCCCGGGGGAGACCTGACATTTGACAGGAAAAAGCAGGCCTTGGCAGAGCACTCCCGGGTTTATTCTGAATCCCAAAGGCTCCGTGCTTTGGGCAGTGGTGAGGCTGCGGCTGTTGGCTGGCGTCCCCTCCCCTCTGTAGGAGTCTGTTTTGTTTCAGTGATCGACTTTGTCTCAAGATGGCCGGGAGTGGGCGGAGAGACTTACAATGCATCTGTGATGCTCATTGTCACCAAATGCAGGGGAGTTGATGTCTGATGAGCGTCTATAATAGCTTGACCGTATTAGTTATTCACAATAGCTGTCTGGTGCTTAGCACTAAGCAGAGCCTGAGACAAGGATTTGGAGGGCAGTTTATTTAGGAAGCACAATGCATATAGGGTGGACTCTGAAACATGGGCTTTCTAGCTTAGGGTGCTGCCCACTCCCAGGCTGTGGATTCAAACAGACACCCCCCCACCCCAGACATAGCACATGACCTCTGCAGAAGTATTCTGACCACACAACACCCATCAGTCCCCGAGAATCAGACTCCATGCCAAACCCCAAAACTTCTCAATGCATATGTGTTCTTGCTGCCTTGATGACAGAGAGTGAGGCGATGAGTCAGAGTGTGGAGGCCTGTTTGTACAACAGGGATGTTTTAATTCAGCCATCACGGAAGGAATGGGACAAACGTCTGGACGGTTAAAACTGTTTTGCTTTAGGGGCGCCTGGTGGCTCAGTCGGTTAAACGTTTGACTCTTGATTTCCGCTCAGGTCATGATCTCATGGTTTGTGGGATGGAGCCCCATGTCAGGCTCCGTGCCGACAGTGCAGAGCCTGCTTGGGATTGTCTCTCTGTCCCTCTCTCTCTGCCCCACTCTCTCTCTCTCTCTCTCTTAAAATAAATAAACTTAAATTTTTTTTAACATTAGATTGTTGTTTAGCAGGGAAGAGGAGGAACAATGTTTGCTTCTGTTCTCTGTTCCTCTTCACAATGAACAATACTGAGCTGGGGAAGTTTGGGGAGTGGAGGGAAGGGTTGGAAGTCTGTATTAGGAAAGATGATTTGGTGGCCAGCCTTCGTGTGCCTGGGGAGATGCTGCCCTGTGTTTGCTTGGCGGGCTCTGACTGCTTCGTTTCCTTCCTTCCTTCCTTCCTTCCTTCCTTCCTTCCTTCCTTCCTTCCTTCCTCCCTCCCTTCCTCCCTCCCTCCCTCCCTCCCTCCCTCCCTCCCTTCCTTCCTTCCTTCCTTCCTTCCTTCCTTCCTTCCTTCCTTCCTCTTTGCCTTCGTTAACGTCCTGAACGCCAGTTCTATAGCAGGGATTTGCTCGGTATGAGAGATATAAAGACAAATAAGGCCCAGCTCCCAACTTCGGGAAGCTCTAGATTTAAGGGCAATTACAGTCAAGTGTGAGATTAAAGACATAGGTGCTTGTTGAGTGCTGCGGAAATCCAGAGGAAGGGTACATAACCCTGCCTACCTTCTAGAAAGAGGTGATGCAGATATGCAGATCCTTTTTCTTAAAGGATGAATGGAGGTTAAGAAGGTAGCAGGGGGTGGGAGTTCTAAGCAGAGAGGAGAAACACACGTGGTGACACAGGAGCCTGAAAGCACATGTTAGGTGTAACTGGGAAAACGGGCACCTTGGAGAAGCCACACAGCTGCTCGCACTGTCAAGAACCAGATCACAGGGAAGTAGGTTCTGAAATGTGTGTTAGCTCTTGCAAGACGGGAGGTAGGATTCCCTTTCGGGAAGGATACGCTGGTGCTGTGTGGCTGGTGGTGGGGGTGGGGGAGGAGTGGGAAGGAGTCCAGGCGACCAGTGAAAATCTAATCGTGTTAAAAGATGTGTTAAAACTGTGTTAAAGGATGGTGGGTCCCTTGGCAGGGACGGATCTGAGACTAGTTTAGGCAATAGGCTTGTTGGATGTGGAGATTGATGCAGGAGAGGAGGAGAGGAGAGGAGGGTCCTAGAGGGTGAGCAGGAAGGAGTGGGCGCCATTAACTGATCTGGAAAGTGGGAGGAGGTGAGTGTGGATGTGGACGTGGGGTAGGAGACGGGACAGACAGAGGGTGATGCAATTACTTTCTCCCCTGTGTCCCCTGTCACACCTGTGGAGACCGGGTAATTGTATCAGTAGTTAAAACCACCAAGGCATCATCACTTTCTGCACAGACACCTACGTGTCAATCTGTAGCTGATGGTCAGGTGGTTTTCAGGATCTGCGAAGGTGCTCAGAGTTCAACTGCTGAATTTACCTGAATGCCACTGGATTGAGTTGTGTTGGAATGTGTGAAATTCTAGGATGAGGTTAAGACTCACCATGGTTTCCAGGCTAGAAGGCACAGGGCTCTATTGCCTCGAGATGGACAAAAAGTGATTCTGAAGGTCTCATACCCACCGCAGTTCAGTGCATTCTGGCCCCAAAATACAATGTGAGATCTGTGTGCACCTGTGCAGAGCGCCTGTTCTTCTCTGGGTGACGAAGGGCCCCCGTGATTGTCCTTGCCACTCCAGGAGAACAGGGCACACCCAGCACGCAACATCAGAATATTCTGGATTTTGTGAGAGTCTCACCAAGTCACCCAAGTCAGAAATGGGGACTGCTGAGTGGTGAAGAAATTCCTGAGGGGTTGTTGCTCTGGGAAGGAGCAGGGGTGGGGATGTGAGCTCATACTTGTTGAGGATCCACAATCTAAATGCTCAGTAGTACCCGTGGCAAAGTACTTCGTAAAGTGGCCTTTGGTTTTAGTCTTAGATTTGAGAACAAGAAAGCACCCTAAAGATAAGAGGTGTCTCCTACTTTTATAGGATAAGTAAGAATCCCAATGGATGGTCTAAACTATTTTGAAAATTTTACTTACTTTATCTGTTATTTACATGTATGTTGCCAAAAACATATATCTGTATCTACATCTTCCTTCCTTCCTCCCTTCTTCTCTCTCTCCATCTCTCTCTCCTTCTTTCTTTCTTTCTTTCTTTCTTTCTTTCTTTCTTTCTTTCTTTCTTTCTTTCTCTCTCTCTCTCTCTCTCTCCCTTTCCTTTCCTTTCCTTTCCTTTCCTTTCCTTTCCTTTCCTTTCCTTTCCTTTCCTTTCCTTTCCTTTCCTTTCCTTTCCTTTCCTTTCCTTTCCTTTCCTTTCCTTTCCTTTCCTTTCCTTTCCTTTCCTTTCCTTTCTTTTCCTTCCTTCCTTTCCCTTCCCTCCCTCCCTCCCTCCCTTCCTTCCTCTCTCTATCCTTTTGAAGAGTTAGTATGCCAAATATATTTGAATGTAAAAAGATTTTAAGAAAAAATCCTCTGATTTCTCTTGGGACAAAGTGCCTGAGTCTGACCTTCATCATAAGCATATGTGTTCAGGAAAGATGGCGGAAGCAGAACAGATTAAGAGGATGACCTCTGCTCTGTGTTAGTGTTGGAGGAGTGAAAGGTGGGCTCCTCTGCAGTGTGCAGAATGAGCTTCAGATTTTCAGAGATCCAAATTTCTATTTTACTGAGATAGGTTTTAACTTCCCCAAACTTTTAAGGGACATCCACCCTCTGAAGCATACTTTGAGAGAATTATGAGTAGGTTTTCTAAGGAAACATGGAATCCCAATATTGGGTAGTGTGAGATGTTCTAGAATCATTATTTATTCCCAGTTTAGCAGCAACACCAAGTGGAAGTACAGCTCAATATTTTTTATTCACCCCCATGGCATAGGGCATGGTCATTCTTGCGGGGGAGGGGCTCATAACTTTAATGGCTGAATTTTCCAACTAGTACTGTTTAATTGAGCTTCTTTAAACCTCCTTAAACACCTCTCTAAACACAAGAACCTTTAGAGGTATTTGCCATTTTGGAGGGACAGAATTCTAAAATAGGTTATCCTCTCTTTGGTGAGGTGATTAAAATTCTGGGGTTGGAGCCAAGAAAGTGGTATTTGAATTCTGGCATTGACTTCTCTGGATTTTGACCTTCACCTGGAAATTAGGGGCAAAAATGCTTATCTACGAGGTTTACATGAAACAGTATCTGGAAAGTGATCATCATAGTGTTGGGTAAATGGCAATGAGGCTTAATAATAATTGGCTATAATAATAGGTGGTTCTTAATAATAATGAACAAAATGTGATCACTTCTTGATCACTCAGATTGTGAGCCGTGTGGTCCCTGCCATGTGGGGGGGGTTGTCTGCCGCTAGAATCTGTTTCTGAGCCCCTTTTTTAGCCTCTCACACCACGGGGAGGGGAGGTGGCAGGATCTTGGAGCTAAGCAGAGGCAAGAGTGACCACCCTGACCATTAAGCAGTGGCGTGGCAAGACCATTCTCACCCAAGGGTGCTGCTGGAAGAGCATCGTTTGGCAGAAAAGAAAACCAAATAATATTAGTAACGAATTAAATAATGGCAGCTACCAATCATAGTGTGCGTATCAAATGCTGAGGAGCCTCATCCCGTGAGGCAAGAATCGCAGAGGACTGAGGTGACAAGGACAGGGACGCAGCACCAGAGTCTCTGAGGCCTTGGTTCTCTTTCGGCCCATCCCCGGTTCCTTCAGCGATATTCTGTGTCATGGTCTCATGGCCTCTCCCCACGACAGCCTCTTTGGTGCCCCGAGCCAGACCCCTGGGGGCTGACCAGCTCTGGCTTTGTACCGGAGATCTGGAAGACAGCTTCACCAGACTCTCGTTTTGAGGGCGCACCTGGGTGGGAAATAGAGTTCTCAGGCCCAGAGGGGTCTGTGTGGGAGAGGTGGGTCAGTGTGGCCGTGGCGGGTCCCCACCCCCCGCACCCGCCGTGAGAACAAGCTCACTGAAGCTCTTGGAAATAAACATCTCCCTTCGCAGTTCCGGCTGCCCTGGAAAGAACTCGGGATGCCATTACCAGCTTCCAGCAGGTTTATCTCTGGAAAGGTGAGCTGTGGGAGGTGTGGGGTGGGGTGCGGGGTGAGCGGGACACTGTTACACGACACTGGCCCCACCCCTCGTTCACGGGGCCCTCTGCTCCCCAGAGAGGCAGCTGTAGAGATGTGCATTCCAAGTGAGGGCTCTGAGTGGCACAGAAGGGCTCAACTCTCATCAGATAACACACCAAACCTTAGAAAGAGAAATGGAAAGTGTGGAAACCCCAGAAGGGCCGGGGGGAAGGAAACACGGCTTCCTGCGAGATCAAGTTCACGGACCGCAAGCGGCCCTTGTTACAGGCTGGGAGCCTGGAGGCCCCTGCAGACTAGGGAGACATTTCTCTAGGGGACCCGGCCACAGGGGCCTCTCCCGCTGAGGTCAGGGTGAGGAGACAGGACATGTGCTGGTGCCTTCACCCCTGCTTAGAGGTAGTGCTGCTGTGGGTGTGGGTGCACATTTGGTGTCTCCTGTCTGCTTTGTTCGCCTTCCTTCAAGTTTCCTGAACACCAACCCAGGGCCTCCTCAGAGCCCGGGACACGGGATGGTGCAAGGCATCACGGAGGAGCCTGAAAAATACAGGCTGAGAGACCTTCGCTGTAGGGGCCCCAGCCTCGGGAGGCAGCCTGAGCAGTGGACCCTTAGCAGCCAAGGCCATGGGGCTGGTGGGAGAGTGAGGACAGATCTGGCCCCTGCGTCACTTCCCTCCTCTTCCCGGGATCCCTCCCCACCCATGTCAGGTCCCCTTGGAGACAGGACAGTTTTGTGCCCGTGAACTGAGATCGTGGGAAAGAGCACAGAGTGTGGAGTCGCCAGGTAGGACTTCTGGTTCAGTGACTCACCACCTTGTGACGTGGGGCACGACAGTTATCCCCTCCGAGCCCTGGCTCCTCGCGGGCAACGCGGCGGTGAGAGCACTGGTGACCCAGAGCCATGGGAGCACCTCCAAGGTGAGGCAGGCAGAGTGATCGGAGCAGTGCCTCGTGCATCCCAGCCGCTAGCTCGGGCTCGTGGTGGTGAGGATGGGGGAAGGGCAGATGAGAATGAGGAAGAGGAAGGAAAGGAGGGAGCAGAGAGAAAGAAAAGGAGGGTGTCCACCGTATTCCCATTTCCAAGTGATTTAATGAGATGATATACTTCTCGTTAGTCATCCCTGTAAGGTGGCTGTAGAAGGGGGCGACATTTTATTCATTTGCAGACGAGAAAAACAAAGCATAGAGGGGGTTCCTGGGGGTGGGACCCAGACTCTGGCTCCAAGTTCAGTGCTTCCTAGTCATCCAAATTGCCTGATAAAAAGCTGCTAGCTGGCGAAGAATGAAGGGATGGCTGCTCCCTGGGACACTGGCAGCACTGAGCACAAGCACCCCCGCTTGTCTAATACTCTGTCCTCCTCACGGGCTCAGCTGCTTTCATGGAAGACAGATTCCCAGCTTGGAGATTTTATTTATTTTTTTCAAATTCGAGTTCATCTACATTCCACCTGCATTTTCCGGGAGAAGTCCTCTCATCTGTACACAATTCCATTTTTTCTAGAGTAAAATGGGAAGCTTCCTCCTTGCCTTCATGAGGTATGGGAAAGGCCAACGTTTATGAACACTTTTCGTTAGCTTTGCTACTGTTGATCATTTCAGAATCAAGGGCAATCATGGTTTTGTTGTTGAGAGGTTGGCGGATGTTCCCTAAAAGGCCAAAGAGTAGAGTCCTCTGCCCCTGGATTTGTTCCAGATCCTGTCTTAGGCAGCGGGCTGTGGGCTGTGAGGATTTCCCGCAATGCCGTTTTGCTGATCCCTTTTTCCACCGCCCAACGTAACAGTGGTCCTTTCTTTTCATTCCTAGATTCTGACCTAGGGTCTCGGTCTGAGTCTATGGGATGCAGAAAAGACACGGAAGTAAGGCCAGTGGCTCCAACAGAACCAGGTACCAACTCTGAAAACTTTTTATGTACTTGGGTGTCCGGCTGGAGGCAAGATGGTGATGGCACAGCTCTAATCAGTGGATGGACTTCTTAGCATCACCCTGTTACGTAACCTTGGACTGACTGCCCACTAAGATTTTTTTTTTTTAATGTTTTATTTATTTCTAGGAGAGAGAGAGAGAGAGAGAGACAGTGAGCAGGGGAGGGTCAGAGAGAGAGGGAGTGACAGACTCCGAAACAGGCTCCAGGCTCTGAGCTGGCAGTCAGCACAGAGCCCGACGCGGGGCTCGAACCCACGAACCGCGAGATCATGACCTAAGCGAAAGTCGGACGCTTAACCGACTAAGCCACCCAGGCGCCCCTGCCCACTAAGCTTTTAACCCCAGCTATTCATTTCACAAATACGGACAGCTCCTCAGAGGGGCCGTTGGCACAGAAAGCGAAGTGAGATCATTGCAAAATCAACACTGCTACTGGAAAATTGAACAGCCGTCGTCGCAAAGCCAGCGAACTGTATTAAAGGGCGACTTTTCATCTGACGGTGGTCAGCGAGTGTAGGCAAAATGTGCATATTCTGGAATTGTTGAGTGAGATTTCTAGAGAGCCTTTTGAGAAAGGGTTGTTTTATGCAGTGGATGATATAAATCTGTACAGTACCCGGGACAGAAGGTATATGCTGTCTGAGACACTGTCCCTGGTGTCTGAGACTGTTGTTTCTTAGGTGGGGCGCAAACTCAGGGTGGGAGCCAGGAAGAAGAAGGAGAGGAAGAGGAAGAGGAAGGAGGAGGAAGAGAAAGGAAAGGCAGGGAAGGGTAGATGGGGGAAGGGAAAAGAGAGGCAGGTCAGTCTACCAGCACAATGGAGCATGGCCAATGGAGGGGGACACCGCATTGCAAAGCAGATAGATAGGGCTTGAGCCATTTTGTTTTTGTTTTGTTTTGTTTAGCCACTTACTGCTAACTGCACGGCCAGGGGTACTTTACACTTGCTAAGAGCCTTGATTCAACATGTGGAGAACTACCTTGCTTTCTGCTAATCCCACTATTGATGACGTGGCAGGTAAAGCACCTGGCACATTGCCTCGTACCTGACAGAGGCCACCAAAATCATAGGCTCTTTCTCTATCCAGGGCTTTTGTCCCGATCCAATGAGATAATGTGCAGAAACCACCAGCAAGGGGGCTCATGCCATAAAAGTTGGGCAATTATGAGTTCATTCCACGTTTGTAAGGGTTGTAGGAACTGAAGGTTGTGCCCTGGTTTAGATTGCAGGTTCTCAGCCCAGGAGAGCAGGGTTCAAACCCCAGCTCTGCCTCTGTCTACCTCTGCAGCCCTCAGTCACCTCCCCTGAGCCTCAGTTTCTCCCTAGATAAATGAGAGAGACAGCAGTGCCCATGAGGCAGGGCTAGTGTGGAAATGGAGTAGGTAATGCTGAACTTGCAGTGGCCCAGAGCAGGTGCTTGGAGAATTAGTGGCTGTTATTATGTGCTAGCAGTGGCGTTGGAGATGACATGACTCAGCCCCTAGCCTGGCTCGTAGCAAGCCATCCTCAAAGTCCTGTCCCCAGTCCTCTCTGTCCCTGTAACTGCCCATCAGACAGCAGATCCTGGTTCAGGATGGAAACTAAGGTCAGCATAGCTTTCCCTGTCCAGTGCTCTTAACAGTGGTGCTTCTGGACCTTCAGAGGTTTTCCAGAGGAAGCTTTAACTTTGCCAGCAGGGTGGGGGGAAGTGGGCGGGTCTGCGCCTGTGCCAGAGGCTGCCCCTCCGTGGTTCTCGTAAGCAAGCATTGGGCCTCATGTCTTCTGCACCAAGGCCTGGACCTTCACCTTTCTGATCTTTGTGCAAGTGTATTGGCAAATTCATTCTGCCGTTCAGAGCTGGCGTTCAAGTTTATCTGTTGCCAGCCATGGTTTTCCCGCTGAAGCAAGGGTGAGTTCAAAACTCACCAGGTAGGGAGGCAGAAGAGAGCGAACCCTCCTTCTGAGCCTCCTGAGGGCAGGCTTTGCACTTGGTGTTTTCTATGCATCATCTCGCAAAGGTTAGGACGAGTCTGCTGACCCGTATCATTGTTCCCACTTCACTTCACTTCACTCCCCACTTCAGAGGAAGGGGAGACCCCAATGCCTCGGGACCCCCCTGTTCAAAGCCAGTCTGGCCCGAAGAAAGCAGCAGGAGTGCCAGGATTCAGGCTGTTGCTCAGCTGCCTCCAAAGTCTGGATTCTTCTAGAACACTGGCTGCTCCTTGGCCCAGACAGTGTGGGCTCCAGGGCTGAGTCCTGGGGGCCCCCTGGCTAATTGAGCAGATAGGGTTTGGTTTGATTTGCAGAGAGAATTTTTTTTTTTCTGAACTGAGCCAGTATTTTTTAACTGGGAGATTTTATACAAAAATTCCGATTTCAAGCTTCTTTAAGGAAAAACAGAGGAAAAAGCTCTGGCAAAACTGGCTTCAAATTTCCGCCTGGCGACCATCCTCTGAGCGGAGTTGAGCTGCTCCTGCCATCAGGGACATGGCTCTGCTGTTTGCCCCGGTCCCTGCCCAGCCCAGGGCACTCCTGTTAGTTGATTCCCCAACCTTAGCGGTGCCAGGGGGTCATTGGGGCAATGAACAGGTAAAGGACCTTGGGGAAATGCTGGGCATTCTGTAAAACCCATCGTTAGACACCGTGTCAGGTCACATGTCTAAAACTATCACGTGGCTCCCACAGGAAGGACCCCCCCCCCCGACACACACCCCGTCCCCACCTCCTGCCACCAGAAAGGGAGCTGGGCCCCCCGCCCATGACCTTGGAAGGATCCAGGCTGAATAGACCCAGCTCAGATCGGCTTTCCCTTTCTGACTGATTACATTCCTGGGCTTGGGAAGATCACGCCCTTGCAGGAGAAGCCCCTTTGATCTGCTCCTCTGTGGTGGGGCCAGGGCCGTTTCTGTGGCCACTGTTCCTCGGCGTCCCCAAGAATGGCCTCTCGATCAAAGCCTAGGGAGGAATTGTCCCCTTCCTGCTCCAGGTTACTTCAGTTAGTCTCCGTGTTTGAGACACACACAGAGGGAAGCCAGCAAGAACCACCTCCTGTCCGGCAAGGCCTGTACCAGCCTCCCTGCCTGCAGGGGGCGCGCAAACCAGAAGGCGAGGAATTCTCCCGAAAGGGGCGTGGAAACCCAGTACAAATTGAGGGGGCTACGTATTCATTCTGCCATCCGCCACACATTTTTCTGAGCACAGAGGCTGTGCCCTGGGACATTCGCAGGCTAGTGAGGATTCCCCCACGCCGGCCATGGCAGGACACCGCGGCAAAGGCTGTAAGGGGACAGGTGTCAGGTATAGTGAGGATGCCAGGGAAGGAAGATGCTATGTGGGCTGAAGGAGTCAGAAAGGCTCCTCAGAGGAGCCTGGAAGGATCCGCCAGGCATTTCCAGCCTGTGCAAAGGCTCCGAGGGCAAAGTGATTGAAGGAACTTCAAGTTTGCCTTTAGTCTTCTTGCGTTCTTCTTCTTCTTCTTATTTTTTTTCTTACTCTGCTGTCTTAACGGGTGACTCGTGCTTTCCTACCTTGTGCCAGGCAGGGAGACAGGCATGCAAACTGTCCACTGTATAAGAGAGTTTTTTTTTTAAGTGTTTATTCATTTTTGAGAGAGACAGAGAGATAGTGTGCAAGCGAAGGAGGGACAGAGAGAGGGAGACATAGAATCTGAAGCAGGCTCTAGGCTCTGAGCTGTCAGCACAGAACCCAATGGGGGAGACTCGAACCTACAAACCGTGAGATCATGACCTGAGCCAAAGTCAGATGCTTAACTGACTGAGCCAGCCTGCACCCCATTTTGTTAAGTGAGCTTCCTTTTTTGGTCCGTTGTACAATAATATGAAGTTTAAGAACCCAGAAGGGTGGGGAGGCCCAGGGGAGGGTGACACGGTCTCTGGCATCTCTGCCAGGGCTGAACTTCTGGCCTCAGTGGATGTGAGTAACATTGTTACCTCGTTTGGTGGTTTTTGTTGGTGAAAAAGTTCAGTCTTCGTGAACCTAGTCCGGGAGGATGCTCAAGTCCAAGGCAAATGGGGGCCCATATAATGCCAGAGCCCTGAGTTAAGGGACATTGTAAATGGGCCCCAACTCATCTCCATGAACAGCTTCATGCCCCCAGGTAAGCCCCTCCGTGAAGTCAGAGCTCTGGTGAAGGGCACTTTGGGCCCCTCAGCACTGGGGAGCCTCTTTAGAAAGCTACAGGTCATCAGGGCAGGAGGGAACAGCATTGGTCCTTGAAGCACAGGATGAGGTGGGTGAGGAAGAGGGCTGAGCACAGTCAACAGTCCTGGGGCAGCAAACAATGTGACAGTGTTTCTGGAGTATGAGTTGAGGCAAATGGAGGTTAAGCTTAAAATACAGGTGGGGCCTGGACCAAGAAGGAAGCTGCACTTCTGTCCCCGGGGGCAGTAGGGCACCCTCAAGGAGCCTGAAGCCGGCGATCACAGCAGTGAGGGTGCAGGGAAAGACTGAAGGATAGTAGCAACGCTGAGCTTTCGGGGGGTGGCAGCTGAGCAGATCCGTCTTCACAGATGTAGGCTGCCATCTGGGTAGAGATAGGACTTCTGCATGGCTTCAGAAGACGGGAGCGTCAGTGGTTCAAAGCGACAGATTGGACTCCACAAGTCCCTGATGGCGGAGTGGGCCGCCGTGGTCAGCACGGACCTGTCACGCGGGGCTGCAGGGACATTGGCCAGAAATACCGTGGGGAAACATCCTGCCTTGGGTGAAAAGTTGAACCAGATGGCTCCCAAGGTTTCTTCCAAACTAGGAGTCTAAGATTTTGCAACTCTATAATTTTTAGGACTTTCTGGAGGCTTCAAAACCCTTCCTGCCTGGCTAGACTCCCAGCCCTATTTCCTCCAGACCTGTTCTGGCTTCGCACAGACTAAAACAAGTGTGTGTGTGTGTGTGTGTGTGTGTGTGTGTGTGTGTGTGTGTGTGTGTCAGAGGCAGAGACAGAGAGACAGAGGGAGAGAGGAGGGGAGGGGAAGAGAGAGAGAGACTCATTGTGGAGATAAAGGAAAGGAAGCTGACTCTCTCCTTCCTTTTCAGATTTGACAACGGAACTTTTCTTCCCTGTGGACCTGAGCCAGGTCATTGTCAATGGAAGCCTAACGCTGCCCAACCAGCAGCACTGGCTTTTCAAACACCTGTTTTCATCGCAGCAGGCAAACCTGTGGTGCCTGTCTCGTAAGTATCCTTAGACCCATCCTTCCTCTTCTGGACCCTCTGGTCAGGCAACACAGACCTAGTTAAATAGCTCTTGAGAAATAGATATGATGAAACTCAATGGCACAACTCAGGAATCACTTCAGTGTTAGTACTATGGATGATACGAAAGAAAGACAGGACATAATCCATGTATTCAAGAAGCCTATAGTACAGATGATCTCTATTCCCAGGACCTATCATCCATCCATCCACCCACCTACCATCTACCCAACCACCTGTCTATTCATCCATCCATTCATCCAACCAGCCATTACCCATCCATCCATCCATCCATGCATCCATGCCTCCATCCATCTATGTATCCATCCACCCATCCTTTACCCAGCAGACATGTGCTATGTTTAGCATGTGTTGTGTTCTAAGCCTTGCATTTGACCTTGAAGATGAGAAAACAAAAGAAGATGAATAAACTATGACCCAGCCCTGTGAGCGAGCTCATGGAGACCAGTGAGAGTCTGACGTGGGAGTGGAACAGGAGAGGTCATTCACAGAGTTCACAAAGGTTTTATAGTCCTGTCACCTCTGGTCTAAAGATCCCAACTGCCTCTGAGATGGTCCTGGGTCAAGAGCCAATGGAATTTGCTTTCTCTTCTCCTGTATTTCTGAGAAACACAGCTCACTCTTCACCTTCTTAGATTCTTCTTTTATTCAGATCCACATGGACTCTGTGTTTGGGGCCCTTCATCTCCCCAGCTGACAGAACTCTAGTATTTTTATTGGGCTTTCCAGACTGGATATTCTCAACTGTCCTGGGTCTCTGTCCTCCTAGGAATAACCTCTCCCAAGCATTACTTGGTTAGAGGTGGAGGTTACTTGCCCACAGGCCTCCCAAGGCCTCACACCCACTGCTCTCTTGCCTGCAGGCTGTGTCCAGGAGCCCTCTTTCTGTCAGCTGGCGGAGCTAACAGACAGTGCACCCTTGCACTTCACCTGCACCCTCTACCCAGAAGCCCAGGTGTGTGACGATGTCATTGAGTCCAGTCCCAAGGGCTGCAGAGTGATCCTGCCCCACCGGCCAAAGACCCTGTACCGGAAGAGAGGTGAGTCCCTGGCAGGATTTGCACAAACTGCATTTCCAGTGGGCTGCTGGCCCCATGGTTTGAGAAATATCCACATTAATGTATTCTTCTTTGTAAAATGGAAGCTACTCACACTCCTTGTAACAAAGCGGCACCATTTAGAAATGCATCAAGTTGACTACAGAGAAAAACTCGTCTGCAGTTGTACTCCTTAGAGAAAGCCACCGTTCATGCTCCTATCAGTTGAAATCCATTTAGCTGTATATTACAGAAGACTCCAACAGTGGCTCTCACAAGATGGAAGTTGATTTTTCTCTCTGAGGACATTCATGAGACTTTTTTTTTTTTAGTGTTTTCCCTCCTGTACCATCTCCATTTCTTCTGGAATATTAGCATGCTTTGTTCACTGTCCTGTTGGTGCTGGAGTTCTTTCTCGGATCTGTGGTGACCCCTGGTTTTACGCTCAAATGTAAGAGAGGGGCCCAGGAGCTGATTGGGAAGCTCAACGTATGGGGCAAGAGCTTGCTGACTTTAGGTTTCTCCGGAGGATAATCTAGTTGGGCTGCCCTTTGGGGGAATCCCTCAGGTCTTTATTTTTAGGTCCTTCCCATAGAGGAATCTTGCAATACCTGGCCTGGGGCCATGAGCCTGGCCGCTATTGGTTTGGATGACAAATAAGGTTGGAAGATGAGAGTCTCAGCCTTCACCATGTGGATGGATTTGAAAGAATCCCCTAGTTTCAGGGTGGGATTCTCACCATGAATTCCACCTGGTGCATCCCAGAGATCCTCTCTTTTTTGTTTTCTCAGGAGAAGAAACCTTCTATCTTCTTCTCCAGTGGGGAGAGAGCACTTGTCTCCTGTGTAGAAGGGGGGAAGTCATCTGGAGTCCTCATTGCTTCTTCTAGGGATTTCCAGCCTGGTTTAGTCCACCTTCATCCCAGTGATTTCAACACTTAAACTTCTGGGGATTCCAGAAGGTGTATAGAGTTGCTTGTTCTTCCCACAGAAAAGTAGGGGATTCAGCTCTCACAGCTCTATGAAGTCAACCACGTATTTCTCTCTGTGCTCTCTAGCTTCCAGAATTTTGTTGCTCTATCCTTTCTCCTATTCTTTTTTTTAAGTTTTTTTTTTAATGTTTATTTTTGAGAGAGAGATACAGAGCGCAAGCAGAAGTGGGGGGCAGAGAAAGAGGGAGACACAGAATCCGGAGCAGGCTCCAGGCTCCTAGCTGTCAGCACAGAGCCCAACGCGGGTCTTGAACTCACAAACCGTGAGATCACGACCTGAGCTGAAGTCAGACACTTAACCGACTGAGCCACCCAGGCGCCCCATCCTATTCTCTCTATTCTTGTGTGTGTGAGCCTTTATAAGAATCCCCTTACTATCATTTTAGTGAGATTTGTGATAAGAGCAGAGAATAAGCATGTGAGTTTCATACGCCATCTTTAATCGGAAGCTCTCGATCTTGTGTGTAAACCATCATCCTCATAATTCATAGACACAACAAATCTATCCTTAAATAATATATACTTTCTTTCTTCCACCGTGTAGTTATGCTGAAGGATAAAGTGAAGAACTTTTATACTCGCTTGCCATTCCAAAAACTGACGGGGATTTCCATTCGAAACAAAGTGCCCATGTCTGAAAAATCCATTTCCAAAGGGTAAGCGACTTCTGTCCTCTCAAATATTTATTATTAAGACTTTACTACTTCCATAAAGAAGATGACTTAATATCAACTAAAGGCACACGCATAAGAAACCATAAAACCCAACATGAAGGGTGGAAAGGTAATGAGGAGGTGACCATATCAAAAACCATGGCTAAGTTACTGATACTAAACACACAATTGAGCCCGGCACATCCAGGCAGCTGACACAAAAGGGAAACACTGACCTGTGTCCCATCAATTAACAAACATTATCGAGCGTGGTAATAAACTGGGTCAGCAGTTCTCGCTGTGCTGTGTGCAGAATCTGGAGCGAAAGTAGAACTTTTAACAAGATCGCAAGCGTATAAGGACTTTTAATTTGTTTGATATATTATTTTTAAAAGTATGTTATTATATGTTGTGTTAGTTAGCCGTTATTTAGTTGTTTTACATGAAGGTGATATTTCTCTCGGCCCAGTCGGTGGATCCCACCCTGCAGAGTCAGCAAGAGGACTTTTTGCAAAACACATTCTGGGGACGGAATCAGCATTTCCTGGGAGGGGGCTCAAGAATCTGAATTTTAAGTAAAATTCTCCTCCTGGTGATTCTGCTTTAGAATTCGAGAGTCATCGGTGTATGAACTGTTGGTCTGTGAAGTGTTGTTGATTTATGAAACCGTGTCATTTGCTGGTGGTCGTGATCTGCTTTTGAAGGGGCACCTGGGTGGCTCAGTCGGTTAGGCGTCCAACTTCAGCTCAGATCATGATCCCACAGTTTGTGAGTTCAAGCCTCTCCTTGGACTCTCTGCTATCAGCACAGAGCCCACTTCGGATCCTCTGTCCCCCTCTCTCTGCCCCTCCCTCCCGCACTCTCTCAAAAATAAAAAAAGTATCTGCTTTTGAAAAATGGACTGAAAAAGGTGATACGGGGTAGGCTGTTTTGAGATCTATCAGGGCTCTGCCTGTGATGCTGGGGCAGGGCTGGAGAGGGAGAGTTGGGACCAGAGATAGGCGGGACCCCAGTGCCGGGGACTCAGAGAATGTGTTCCGATGGAAAGCACATCATCTAGGCTGGAGCTCAGTCCTGGGCTTCCAAGAGAGGAAAACAAAATGGTGGGCAGGCAGGTGGGCAGGACTCTGGGAGACGGAGCCGTGGGGTAAGTGGTCCATAGGCATCAGGGCGGAGATGCAGTCAGCACTGGAAAAATCGTCCAAGACACGGAGGGTTTGTGCATGGGCAAAGATGTGAGTTGAATTCAGGGGCTCCTAAGACAAGGAAGGAAAATGGCTAGAACGAGGCAGTTTGCCCCCACCGGGAAGGAGCTGAGGGGTTGAGCGAGCTCGTTAAAGACGAGTGATCAGAACTGGGGCATGCAGTCAGGGGGAGGGGAAGCGGAGTTGAGCCCAGGAGCGCTGGCTCGGGGCCACCGCATTTCTCTAGGACCGGTCCAAGAAGCTGAGGGTGGGGGTCTAGCAGCCACACTGAGTTATTCAGCGAGTAGGTCCTGAGATTGGGGACTGGATATGCTGACTCAGCAAACCAGAGCGTGATCGGAGCAGATAGGAAGGGAAGCTGAGTCAGGGGGAATGTGCAGGTCTTTGCCTATGGACACCTCGCTGGGTCACTCTGACCGGAAGCCCGTGGAGTCTCCTATTTCTGAAGACGCCTTCCCTACCACCTCTTCCTTTTCCCAGAGCCCAAAGCTGGACTTTCTTCTTACTTGAGAGGACTGTAGGTGCACATTCAGGATGCTGGTGAGCTTAGCTTAGAGTGGGGCGTAACAGGCACAAAGTAAATGCTCGATGAAGGAATGAGCCAATGGATGAAAGATGCCAAGACTACGTTCCTGAGAAAGAGTACAATTTTGTTTTCTGGAGGACCTGCAAGTCTAGGAATCCACTCATGCATCCTGGCCAAAACATCCCCACTTTAAGGAGTCCTGAGGAAAGGAACCCCTGCAAGTAAGAATGAGTGTAATTCAGTAGGTCCGGGGCCACTCACAGAATCCCTGTGCCTGCTCTTCTCTTCTCACGCCAGCTTCTTCGAGTGTGAACGGCTGTGCGATGTGGACCCGTGCTGCACTGGTTTTGGCTTTCTAAATGTGTCCCAGCTACAAGGTAAGAGTGGTACCAAGCCCGCCTGCCCACGCCCAGCGCTTCGCGGCCTGGAGCACTCGTTCACGTGGTGGGTGGGGAGGCGTGATCCTGGTTCACGGATGGGAAGTAGGGGCTTGGGGAGGGGTGGTGGCTATTAAACAGAATAGCCGGGCGTGGCTCCTGGCCCACTGTCCGGGCACCTTGACACGGGCCAGGCTGCTGAAACGGCCCCCTTCCAGGCTCCCACCTCGTCTCTCCAGACGCAGCTCGGGAGGCTTGGTGGGATGAACCCCGGATCCACCCATATGACCTGAATTTAAAGCTGAATTTAGTCGCTTGCTAGTGATGTTCAAGGAAAACCACTTAATCCCAGAGCGACTCGGTCCCCCTCATGTGCAAATGGGGTTACCAGTGCTCCCCCCCTCATGGGGTGGTGTGAGGGTCAAGTGATGTGATGCAAACAGAGACCTGGCATGGCCCTGCGTTCGTGGCGGGTGGTGCCCCTTCAGGATCTGCCCCCTCCATCCCCCTCCCCCCCCTGCTCTTAGACAAGTTCACTGCAGTACCAGGTTTTGCAGCGGTGGCCAAGGTCATGGCTGGAACCCAGTAAAGCACCCCCAGTGCCTTCTGGAGAATGGGTTTGCAGCATTTTGCTCATCCGGTGAGCATCTTCCGTCATCATCCGCTTCCTCATCCTGGTTACTGTTTTGCTCCAGGAGGAAAGGTGACATGCTTGACTCTGAACAGCCTGGGACGTCAGTCGTGCAGTGAGGAGCATGGAGGAAGCTGGCGCATCTTGGACTGCGGCTCCCCTGACACTGAAGTCCGCACCTATCCCTTTGGATGGTACCAGAAACCTGGTGAGTAACCTGTCCCCCACGGCTACGTGGGGGTCTTCCGTTGACTGCCTGCCAACCACGTATGAAGATGATGTCCTTGGGCTGGGAGGTAGATTAGCCGGGATTCGTTGGGGACGCATGACAGAAATTGATGCTATTTAACTTCAGCAGGAGAGCAATTTATCTGTTGTCGGTAGACTCAAGGGGAAGAAGACTCACTGGGTCTTGGCGACCTGGGTGTATTTAGCAGGAATGAAGGGACAGTCTCTATCATCAGACTTTGGTTGTTAGAGTCAAGCTTTAAATTCAAGGGAGAGAGTTTGGCCCAGCTTGGGCTACCGGCCCTCCCATGCAAGAGGGAGGGTGGGGCTGCCTGAGTGACTGTCCTCGAAATACATGGTGGGTGAGAGGAGGGTCCTCAAAGTATAGTTAAGGTGCCGTTACTGGGCAGGGGAGAGAAACAGACGTGCACTCTGCCAAGTTCCTTTATTTTTAGAAACTTGTCAATTAGTCGGGACAATGGAGACAAGTCTTGGGGACGGAGAGGGGGACACTGGTGTGTATTTGACAGTGGACATGGAGTTAGGATTTCAGGGTCAAGGCAGCATTGCCCCAGTGTGGGCACTTCATACGTATGTGCTGGTTGAGGAGCTCAATTTGAAATTGCCAGATGAATGAATGAATGAATGGTCTGCATGGTGTGATGGAGAAGATCTGTACTCAAAAGAAGAGAGATGAGTGTCTTCCCATGTCTGCCATCTACTATAGGTTTGTGTTTGGGAAAGTCTTCCCTTTCCTCCATTTCTCTGTTGGTAAAAAAGTGATTGAGACTCACTCTGGTCCAATCAGCTCCTGCCTTCCAGGTGTTTCTAGGTGTGGGTCTGCTTGAGGAACAGTGGAGAACTTCCTAGATACTGGACCCATTCACCCTGTGTCCCAGAAGCAAGTCCGGAAAGATGTCCTGGGTACAAAAAGATTACAAACCCTCTCTGAGTGGCTGTCCAATGGAGAGGCTGAAATGAGGTTCATTACCTCCAATCCTATGGCTTCCTCGTTTGTTTCAAAGCCTATATGGGACTGATGCTGGCCCTGCCAAGCCACTTGCCCTGGAAAGGGGACTCATGGAATGTCTAGTTTGGAGGAATCTTAGAGGTCCATAACGTTGACCTCTACATTCTTCACCCAACACAACACTGTGTCCCCAAGGAGGAAGGGAGCAGAAAACTGATGTTTCTCACATGTCTGCTGTATGTCGGCACCTGTGCTGTGTCCCTGCACCCGCTGGGGTTTCTACGGGGCATGGAATTTAATACCCATGATGCCCTATGGGATAGGCGATCTTCCCTCCGTGTTGAGATGAAGAGAGGGCGGCATCGAAAGTTGAAGCCAGTCAATGTAAACCACACAACCAGAGTGAGGTTGTAAGGCCAGAGCTGGTGACCCTACACGTCACTCTTCTCTGTTTCCAGGTTGCTGGCAGAGCTTCTCTATCCCATGATCGACTGGCTGTGACAGTGTCCACACATTCTGACCAGTTTTCCCCTAACTCAATTAACTAATAAGCAATTGACTAACACATTGAAAAAATAATAATAAAACTAACTAATAAGCTAACAAACCAGACCGGTCAGTGGTTTGGTCTGTGGCACCAGAGCCCATTTCCAACTCGAGGGGGCTGGGATGGGGCTCGGTGGGGGAATCTGGCCCTCGGCCCTTGTCCAGGAGCCTACTAATCCCTGTGGCATCCCTTGGCTTCAGGGAAGATTTATTTGGAGTTAATGATTAGCAGACTGGATGGAATCTTCCCTGCCGAAGTCTACCTTGAACATCCTGTGACTGATCCTTGGTCTGGATTCACTCGGGGTTAGGGTCATGCTTTTAATTTTATTGTAACGTCCTGACTTATTTTAGGAAAAATATCGGGGTTGTGGGATGAAATCGCCTCCCTGGGTTTCTATTTAGAGAAGAATGTTCCATATAGGCTTTAACTAACTCACTGGGACAGGGGAGAAGTGAATGCCTGCTTAGTACTATGGCCCACAGGAGACCCGGCACCGGCCCTGCATGTTTTGGGGTCTTCGAAATGAAACTCTTAGTCTTCAGAGCCTCCCTGCCCCTCTCCCCTCCCATCCCTCCTCCCATCTCCTCACCCCACAGAAGACTGAACAATGTCATTTCCAATCTTCATCTAGCCCAGGGAAGAGTTGGGTAAAAAGAAGCTTAAGAAATAAGTCATTTGTTCAGAAATATCATGGGAATCAGACCAGAGCGTTACAACATCATGGCAGGACTTGGCAAAGAAAAGAATCCAAGGTCATTATTCCAGTTCATCCTGTCTGTTCTGTTTCTTTTTATCTGACGGCACAGGTGACTCGCTTTTTCCGATATATATTTTGTGGGGTCAGGCTGGGGACTCAGAGTTCTGTCCAGAAACTACTGGCCAGGGAATTAAAAATTCAGAGCAGTGCTGTCTTTCAAAGGACACTGACTGAGCATTGACCGTGCCCAGGGCTTCTGGTGTTACTAATCCAGCCTGTATTCCTTGGGCTCTTTCTGTTTGCCTGACTGGATGAAGCATTTATAAGCATTATCATCTAATCTTCACAACCGCTGTTAGGTAAGGAAAGGGAGGTTCAGAGAGGTGAAGTCACTCGCCCAAGGCCACACAGGAATCATGTCTTATTCAGACCCCACCACATAACATAATGATTCCGTCAGTCAGAAAGACCTGCGTCTGGACCCTGACCCTGTCATTTGCCTGCCTGAGCCTTGAAGGGTGGAAAGGACCCTGATCTCCTCCTTTCCATCAGTTCTGGCCAGGAAGCCTAAGTTTTTATGGACGAATTCTTGCAAAGGATTTCCATAATGGACTTTGCCCTTGCCTCAGAGCCATGGAGTGGCCGTTTAGTGTGTGTTGACATTTGTAGTGAGTGTGGACTGCAGGCCCCGGATTAGACTCCAGGCTGAGAGTCAGAGACGAGAAGCATAACACAGGTCCCGTTTCTGAAGAACCGCCCCCGAGGAAGGGGAAAGGAAGTGATACTCACTGAGTTCCCGATACACGTCAAATACCGAGCAAACATGGGAGGTAGAAGGTCCTGCCTGCAGAAGGTTCAGCTGAGCTGAGGGGGCAGATGTGAGAGAAACAAACATTTCCTAAGCACTTCCTGTATGTCAGACATCACCCTCGAGCGCTTTTACCCTGTATTAATTTATGAACCCCCTGTGACAATGGCTCTACTCCTATTCCCCCCATGAAGAGACAGTTACTGTCTCCTCAATCACAGAGCTAGCCGGAGATGTGGCTGAAGTTCCCATTGGAGGGATGCACGGCGGGGGGCGGGGGGGTGCTTCTGGAGCACGAAAGGGGAAGAGAATTCTGTTCTACGAGGGATTATGCAAAAGCGTCTCCAGGGAAAATCTGGGTGTAGATAAAGGAGAGAGGGCTGATGGGAACAGTGACCACTGTGTGGGGACAGGCAGTGGGCTACGGAGGTGAGGTGGGCCAGGGTCCTGCCCTCACAGCCCTCAGAGCTTCAGAGACCTGCACACACGGGCAATGGAGCAATCATGGCATGACCTGGGTGGTGCCAGGCTGTCCACAGAACAAAGGCCAGAGCTTAGCCTTCTGGAATCCAGGAGAGAGGGGCATAGACCTGTCTGGGAGCACCAACAGGGGGCCGCAGAGAGCCCATGGGGACTCTGCTGTCCACAGCGAGCAGAAAGTTCCTTGGGTCAGTGCAGAATGGAGGCTTGGGCTGAGCAAGCGTGAATACAAAAGAGGCCCTTTGTGGCCCTGCCCCAGCAGTAGGGCCCAGGGAGCAAGCGCGCTTAGCATCCAGGGTGGGAGGAACGGGTGCTACTCTGTGGTCCAGCAGGGCCCCAGAGCCCAGGGTTTTCTGGAAAGGGCAGGCCTTCCCTTTGCTCTTTGGAGAGAACGAAGGCTGCCCATTCTCTCCACAGCTGAGCATGACCAGCAAGTGGGGCAGCGTCCCTGGTTTCTTTATAAAGTCAAATGTGGCTTCTAAAAAAAACCATCGAAGCTACACGGTTCCTGCTAAGGAGATGCACTTGGACCTTGTAGCAATTCTAGATAAGGCAACATGAGCCGGGTAGGAAATGAAAAGCCTTCTAATTATGCCTCTCTGCAATTCACGTGCCGAAACTACCACATGGAGGTAGGGGTACCAAATGGTCCACGCTCCATCCTCATTTGCATCCCGCTCACAGCTCCTGCCAAGCACTCGGCACCGGGTGGGCTCCATGGAGGCACCAGGCTAGCATTTTGCAGCAACATTTCCTTCGGTCCCCAGGCACCCCCGATGAGATAGGGCCTATTGTGAGCCCCACTCTGTGCAGTGCTGGCCAATAGTTTACAGCTGGCGAGGGGGAGAGGAAGCCCTGATTAGTGGCGGTTGCCACCAGCCGTGGTGTAAATGTCCCCACCATGGCCACCATCTTGCTGTCTCTCTGTCCTACCCAAAAGGCAAAACCCTATTAAGAAATACTGCCGAGGGGTGAGAGCAGGTACATTGAGCAACAGCAGTAGAGGCATGCAATCTCTTGTCTGTGGAGATGAGCTGCATGGTGGTTCTCCCTGAGATGAGCTGCATGGCGGAGCTGCATGGCGGTGTTCCCTGGTGGTGCTCGCTGAGAGGAGCTGTATGGTGATGCTCCCTGGTGGTGCTCCCTGAGATGAGCTTGAATGGTGGTGCTGAATGCTGGTGCTCCCTGGTGGTGCTCCCTGAGATGAGCTTGATTGATGGTGCTGAGTGCTGATGCTCCCTGGTGGTGCTCACCGAGATGAGCTGTATGGGGTGATCCCTGGGAATGTGCTGTCCTTGTCTAATGGTTCTCATGGTGTCTGATTTTTCCATAGTTTCCAGTGATTAGTCAGTACCATGAAATAAACATACACTGTATGTGTACCATATGCATTCTTCACAACACAACACAGTACTATTCACTACAATATTATAGCATAAATGTTCCCTTTGCAAGCTGAGCTTGCTTTGCATTTCAAGATACATTTCCAGAAGCAGAATTACTGGGTCCAAGAGTGAGAGCATTTGAGTGCCCTTGATACAGATGGTCTAATTGTTCTCCAAAGCCTGCATTAACTTGCAGGACGTTTGCTCTGAGAACTGCTCTCTTCCAGGAAAGACAGATATTTAAACAAACAAGCCACGTTGTGTGTAGTGGAGCGTGGCCGTGGTTGGTAATTCTGAGCCTCGCTGGAGGAGCTCACAGAACGGTAGATGACCGATACCGTAGCTCTGTGGTCCTCAAAGTGTGTTCCCGGATGAGCAGCATCACTGTCACCTGGGAACTTGTTAGGCCAGCTTTCAGGCCGCCCCCCAGACCTGCTGAATCAGACACCGTGGAGCGTGGGGCTGGCTCGGTGTTGTTACCCAGCCTGGGCACCAGGGCCTTAGAGTGACTGGGAGGGAGCAGGTATTTCCAGGAAGGTGGACCATGCAAAAACATTAAAAAAAAAAAAAAGACATAATACAACTGAAGGTTCTAGAACCAAGAGAGGCTGGGTTATGGGTCACCTGACCAAAGTGAAGAAGACAGGGGAGGGGCAGCACTTTTGGGACTGGACTAGAGTGTGACTCTAATCCATGCTTTTTATGAAGGGAGACTGGGACAGCAGACAGCATGTCACCATAGAAGGGCAATGTTAAGAGCGGGTCACGGCCAGCATTTATTGAGGGCCTGCCTGCTGTATGCACAAAGCTTTACAGGTACCAGCTCCTCTACAGCTCACAAGCCTGAGGGCGGTATTATTGTAAGCCCTTCCCTACAGACAGGACGGGGAGGTGAGATCACTTCTGGAGGGCACACAGAGGGAAGAGGCCAAGCCAATCTCGCCCTGGGCAGCTGACCCCAGAGCCCTGCCCTTGACTGCTGACCTGGGCCCTGCAGCTGGTTTGGCAGCTGGTTTGGGCCCCTGGGAGAAAATAATGGTGCTCTGTTCAGATCTGTTCAGTAAGGGAGGGGGAAGAAGATAAGGAGCACCTATGGACCCTCTGCCGGGTATGCCTGGTTTCTCATTTAACTTTTACAACATCCTCATTCCCTCAATGCCGAAAGTGGGTCTAGAAAAGGTCAGATGACTCATCCTTCCACACTACGCCGCTACGAAGTGGCACGGGGAGATTTGAGTCCAGGTCCGTCTATGCATAGTCTGTGCTCTGTCCACCCTGTATACCGCCAGTCATGGGCACCTGCCGCTTACCTTACCCCGGGCCTGGCACGACATTCCCTCCTGTCACCCGCACGGTAATTCCCAAGGTGGGTGGTATTATTGCATCACGCACATGTGGAAGCACGGGGTCAAGTGCCTCGTCCAAGTGAACAGAGTCAGGAAGTGATGGCTGTAAGCACACATGCCATCCCCCACCTGTCCCTGGAACACGGCGGGACCCCACCTGCTCATCCCCCAGCCTCATTGCTGGCTTTGGTCAGTGACCCGTGTGCAAACGAGAGGTGTGTCCCTCGTGGCCAGAAGCCACAGAGCAAGAGTGAAGGCTGCTGCACTCTCTTTCCCTGCCGCAGTGTTGGCGAGGCAGGGAGCACAGGGACGTGGTGGACCCGGGCCCCCGGGGGGATGACACGGAGCCAAGCCCCAGCCCACCTACTGTGGACACATAGTGCGAGGGAGAGAGCACCCTGGGTGGTGGTGGCTTTAAGCCGCTGCGATGTGATTGTCACCATGGCCCCATCCTGACCTATTCAGGGTGTCTCCGGGAGCCGAGGTCCGATGTTGCCATCACCACCCTGAGCCTCTGTAGAGAGGACCTAAAAGGCTGCCTCTTGTTTTTTTCAGTTGCTCAGAACGATGCTCCCGGATTTTGCCCTTCGGTGCTTCTGCCTTCCCTCCCGGAGAAAGGTAAGCGCGTTGTCGTTTCAGCCTCTGTCAGGAGAGGTCCACCTCACTTTTCCTTCTCCTCTCTCTTAGTTTTGCCCAGTGGTTGATAGCTCGCCTGGGCCTCTCACCCTCATTGATTCGAGCTCCTGGAAACTGTACACATGCCCCGATGGGGCCCCGCTGGCCCCGTGCCCATTTCACAGATGGGGGAACTGGCTCCCAGCAAATAAACGCCTTGGCCAAATAGTGCAATCAGTTGGAAGCAGAGGAGGGTTTAGTCTAGTTCCTGCACTTCTCATTCTGAGGATTGTTCTCACCCTGTCCAGGAATGGCTAGACCTGCACAGTCCAAGGCCAATGTCAAGAATAGTGGCACTGTGGGCAAACAGGGAAAACACCAGCTGTTTACTAGAGCAGGGAAGTGGGGGCTCACAGCCCTCAGTGCACTGGGTGTCACACAGTGACATCTGAGGCGGGGCACCAAGCCCAGGAGCATGGTCCAGACTGAGGCTGCCCCCCCTCCTGCATGTTCCCCCCACCTCCCCCCATGTGCCCTGTCTGGTCACGAGGCAGCAGGAAATGCAGAGAAGTGGGCAGAGTGGTTTCTGGAGAAGGGTGAGCTGGGAGTGAGGCAGGCGAGCGTGGGCCTGGATGCAAGACCCTATTCTGCCTTCTCTTAGTCAGGAAATGACTCGAAGGGCCCAAGCGACATTAATTCCTGTCCTGTGACATGATGTCTGAGGAGCTCCAGACATCTGTCATTACAGTCCTGGCTGAAGAGACAGAATATAGAGCTTGTGTAGGAAGGAATCATTTAGCCAAGGCTGTGGCTAAAATTATAAATGGCCTCAACCCATGTCGTGAGTTTCTTCCACCTCGTTGGAAGAGCTAACTTGCACGTTCTACACAGCATTCTGTCTGTGTCTGTTGGAGACTTTATGTCTAGGACTTTGGGTGTACGACCTGGTGACAGCTTTCTAAAGTGCTGTGACATAGCATTCGCCATTGTTATGTCATGAATGTCATGAATGGTGGAGGGGGTGCTTAGGAGTGGGTAACACAGCCACGACCAAGCAGGGGACGTGTATCCCAACCAGACTTTGGTCCAAGTTGATATTGAGTCTCATCAAGATGATGTACAAACAATTGAAATAATCACGTTGTCTCCAGAGATTTGTGATTTAAAAAAACCCAACCGGCTCCTTGTCTCACCTCTACTGCCTGCCATTTCTGCTTCCGGAGGCTTCCGCACTTAACTCTTGTAGCTGTTTTTTTCTCATCCTGGCCTCAACATTTCTTAATAACACACAAATCCTGCTATTCTTCGATTTCTCGATTTTGGAAGTAACTGTGGAGTTCCTTCTGGTCTTGATAGGCGAGGAGTTGAGATCTCCTTTATCATCCTTTTCGATTTTCCTTCTTTGTCCTCAACCTCTAGTCATGTCAAGACTGGAGGTCAAATACAAGAGTATTATTTGTTCCCGTCCACGTGCATATGGTTCACTGGGGAGCCCCAGGCAGCAAGGGCAGTCTTCTGTTACCGTTACCCATCACTGTGTGTGGGCAGCGGACCCTCTTGTTTTTAGTCCCGTGTTCACCCTGCCTTCCATGGTACCCCACCCTTCTTGGGCTTCTTGGGATGCCTGTGGAACAGCTAGATCAGGTCCATACCCCGCTCTGCAGGGGCCTGGAGCGTTAGCTCCTCTGTGCTGTGTCCATCACCACACCTCCCCCTTCTTTCCCTCCCTGAAAAATGTGTTGCAATCTCTTATCTGCTGTTTGCCCCTCCTTGTTATCTTTGTGGGTTTAGACTTTTTAAATTCCTTTACTTCATTTTGTGGGAGGGTAAGAAGGGACGTGAGCTGCATTTAATTAAAGGCGATAATATAATCTTTTCGGAAACTTTCAACGTTTAGTGAAAGCTCCGTTTTGTCCTCACCAATGCTGTAAGCATGTGATCTTCACACATGGACCTCAAGAGACAGGTCATCCTTTAATATCAGTTAGTTGTAAGACATTGAACCATGCAGACATAGAGAGGAAGAAATCACAGAGTTATTTAGAAGTCATGTCGGTTCAACATTGATTTATTTGCTTCTAATCTCCTTTGGCTCTTCTGTGGTCTGAAGTGCTTGTAATCTCTACAATGTGACTCTTCTGTTTATACCTAATAGACCATCGTGTGTATATTTCCAAATTGTTATTTATCTCTCTAAATAACGCATTCACGCATGCATATGTGCATTCATTCGCTCGTTCGTTCATTCATTCATTCATTCATTCATTCATTTATTCATTCATTCCTCTGTCCACATTCCTACTTTCACAATGCTCCCCATCTGGTAAGGAAGAAGCAGGTGAAGACAGGCCAGGGTTACCAGCAGGGGCTTCCACATTTTTCCAACAGGTAGATGTGTTGCTTTAACTCATTGCTCTATTTTTGGGCATTTGATTGTTTATGACTCCTCATCATCATGAAAATGCCATAATGAATACCTGGGTCCGTAAAGCTCTTCCCAACGTCCAGGTTACTTCCTGGGGGACACAGTCTCCAAAGCAGAATTACTGTGTTTGACAACTTTATATTTTAAGACTCTAGCTTTGTGTTGCCAGATTAGTCTCCCACATTGTTCCTAGCAATATCCTCACTAGCAGTGAGTTCGTTTTTCCACCACGTACTTGGAATCTTTCTCAGTGTTACTTTTTCAGCATATATAGGTAAACCACGATCCAGTCTCTGAATGTCAAATGCATCCTCTTAGATATGAACAAATCAAAGCATAACACCGTCAGGTGCTTTTGCAATGCTTTTGCTATGTTTTGGGGGTTTTTTTTCCCTGATAATTTGTATTCCTGGGACTCGAATTACCAATACAAGGGAGAAAAGGATGTTGAGTTTCACCTCCCCCTTTGCACATGCAGTCTATGGATCTGAGTTGAAGTTTCCAAGACAGAATGACATGTCACAGAATTTTTAAACAAGTGCGATTTTGACAAGTGCGATTTGAAGGCGGGAGGGATGTCGGCGCCTGCATTCCATCTGTGCTCAGAGCTCCCAAGTTGGAATGGAGAGTTTGGGTGTGTTCCTTGGACAGCAGTCAAACAGGGGGGCACAATTCTGCCTCCAGGGTATTGATATGTGAGCTGATTCTGACACGGACTGTGCGTACGTGCACATACACACGCATATATACAGCATGTATATGTAAAATGCTTATCTTTATGCACTTCCTATTTGGGGAGGAAAGGAAATACTTATTAAACACCCAATGTTTTACAAATCCTTTAGCGCTCAAAAGAAAATTAGATGGTGGCAAAATCTGTTTTTCAAATAAGGGAGGTGAGGATCTGAGAGGTTAAATGAGCCCCTGGGATTTGGGCCCACGTGCATCTGGCCCCCCTCTGAGTTAGATGAGAATATCTGGTGTGAGTTTCTGGAAAAGGTGACAGAGATAGACTTCCAGCCCTAGACTTGTCTGGACATCCAGTGCTTAGCCTTGTGCCTTGTGATGAGTTGGTGTATATTAAGCCGTTCATTCAAAGGCTCTTAGAAGAAGGATTCTGATGCACTGATTGGTCAGTGGATGTGGGAAGGAGAAGGCATCTTCTGAACTGTCACAAATCTGGGAGGCTTCTAACACACTAGATGGTTTGGGGATGGCAGAGTTTGTCAAATGGCCAAGTTTCAGAAAGCCTTTCCTCCAGAGAGAGTGGTTTGTGCATGCAAAGGCCCAGGGGCATGAAACGGCCTGGGGCATTCAGACGTTGGTGGGCCTAGGGTCATCAGTGAGAGAAAGCAGATGAGCAGGACAGAAAGGCTTTCACTTGAGCATGGAGGGGACTCTGTATTGGGCTCAGCACTAGACCTTGGTACGATGACCTGGGCGGGGGCAGGGGGTGCGGCTGAAAATGACAGCAGCTCTGGAGAGGACAAGTTAGAGAAACGGGTTAGGGCCAAACAGCTCATCTTTCACTTTATTTAGTTCAGTTCAACTCAGTGGATCTATCTATGCCCACAACTTTTTGGGTAATGTATTCTGAATTTTCACCAACATTCCAGAAAAGGCGCTGTGCTGGGGGCTGGAGGTCTTGACTGCAAAGACAGGACCTGCCTTCTAGGCAGGAGAGAAGCACAGGAAGTCAGAATCGAAGGAGATGAGCCACGTACCACAGTGGAGGCCTCGGGAAGCCTCCCCCAGATTCACCGCGGACAGACAGGGAAAGTACCACAGTGCATCGTGGCCATGTTGTGACGTAAAGAAGGAGCGTGCATTTGTCAGATGTCAAGGGGGGAAGAGGAAGCATCCTGGGTAGAGGGAGGTGTGCAAAGAGAAGCCGAGGGTGTGCCTTAGCACGGCATATGCAGGGAAATACACATAGTTCAGGATTACAGGGCCAGCAAGGGGCAGGGAGAGGCCAGATGGGGGACAGGCTCCAAAACTAGAGTCCCTTGGGTACCACACATCCCTGAAGGGCCTTACACAGTTGCACACTGAGCTTTCAAACTATTCAAAAGCCCCCCCCCCCCCCCCCCTGGACTGTGATGGGGACACACTGGTGGACGGATGAGCTAGATTTTGAGAAAGTGTGGACGGTGTGTTATCTGTATATAGAATACCATTTTACTCTTTGGGGAAAAAATTGTACATGTTTAAAAACAAGCAAAACAGTAAAGCTGTCATTTCTTTATACAAAGAAAATGTCCGCTACTTCTCGAAAGACCAGTCCACCCAGAGAGGATGTTCAAGGTTGGCAGGAATCACCTTCTTGGACGTTGGAGCCCACTGTAGGCTGACCACGATCTCCCCCTCTCCTGCCTGTCCAAACATTGGATCTTCTGCGGGCTTATTCCCAGGACATGTCGCTTTTCATCTACCATTTCAGAAGCACTTTGCTCAGAGGTGGCGCTGAAGCAAATTGAGTTGTTGGATTGCCAACTAGAGGAAAACACAGATTATGAGTCTTTGGAGATCCGTATCTGTATTATAAGTTCATTTTACCCTGAGACACTTCAAAACGCCC